AGCATGGGCAATGCAAGGCGGGGCCGTCGTGCCCCAACGGCCAGCACAGGTGCGCTGCGATCCTCAGGGGAGACCGAGTCTGCGGGATGCAGAACCACGGAGCCAAGGAGTGTCGGGCGGCGAAGAAGTCTTGAGGGTGCCCTGGGGGGGAGGGGGACTCCCCCATAGGGTCAGAACTCTCGCACCCCCACACCGGATCCCAGGAAGACGGCCCGTTGATGGTCGACCTCATGTGCGGTCCCAACATGCCCCTGGCGAAAGCCTTTCTCTTTTGCGGCTGGAGGGTGCTGCCCATCGACTGGTCTCTGGACCCGGGGCACGACCTGTCCAACCCGTTGAGGCAGCAAGCACTGGAGGCGCCCCTGAGGTCAGCAGCTTTCACAGCAGCGGCCCTGGACTGCTCCACGAAATCCAGGGCTAGGGAGATCCCTAGAACCTTTGCGGACGGCCGCCCAGGCCCCAAGCCGCTGAGGTCTGAGGCACACCCCGAAGGCCTGCCCGGGCTTGACCCCAAGAACCAACGGCGGGTGGATGTGGACAATGCAGCATGTGCCTGGATCCTGGGGCAGCTCCAGGCCATTGCGGATGATGGCAGAGGGGCACTGCGGGAGAACCCGGCTCGAAGCCTCCATTGGTCCCTCCCTCAGGAGGAGACCATGATGGAGTCCGGCCTCTGGTACGACACAACGTACTCGGCATGTGTTTTCATGTCGGCGCGTTGCAAACACCAGCGGCTGCGGCACAACATCCGTGAGATCGAGCTGATCCACCCTCGCGAATGCCACCATCAGCACGCAGCGTGGGAGTGGGATCCCTGGGAGGACACCCAGGGACGGCACCAGTTTCCGTCCAAGGAAGAAGCAGAGTACTCAGCCACCCTGGCCTTCGCGATTGCCGTATCGGTCAGTTGGTGGGCGGTCCGCGAAGGGCATGCCCGACTCCACGTGCCACGGATGCCGCCGCAGGACGGCGTGTGGCCGGAGGCAACATTGGCTGGATATCGATCCCCGAGCTATGCGCAGCTGGGCAATGACCCCGCTGGCCATCACACTCGGACTACCACCATTGCATCCCGAGGAGCGAGCGAGGCTGCCCAAGGTGGTGCGGGTAGCCGACGTGCTGGCAGATGGCAAGCTTCCGCCGGACGTGGTTTACGTGGGGCAGGGCCACCACTCCCACCGGATCCCACGGTCCCAGTGGGCATCACCGTTCGTGCAGGGGCACACCTGTACGACGGACGACTGGCTGCCACTCTACGTGGACTTCGTCCTCGCTAGTTTGCAGGCAGAGCTCCCTGCGCTGCAGGGCAAACGGCTGGCATGTGACTGCGGCCCAGACGGCGTCTGCGAGGCGGATGCGCTGGCTGGGATGGTCTTCGACGCGACCCACCCGGATGCCGAAGCCAGCCTGCCCAGAGTCACTGGACGGCGGCATAGGCAGGCAAGGGGCTCCGTGCTTAGGGCAGCAGCCATCATGGGATCGCTTCGTGGCGGAGACGCATTGCAGTCCATGCCCCTTTGGTTTCCTCAGGAGGACGTGATTTTGGCCTTTCGCAAGCTCTATCCGGCCGAGTGGTTCCAATCCTTTCAATGGCCCATGTTGGAGGACCTGCTGAACCAGGCCCCCTTCACCTGCTACCTGGACTGGCGCCAGAGCCGCGGGATGGAGTGGGACGGGCCCTTGGGGCCACCCTCCTCGTCCAACACCAGCCGGAGGCGCCAACGGCTGGCGGAGGGCAAGCAGCATGGAGCCTACAACCACAAGGCCTCCATCCCGCCTCTGGTGGGATATGGGCTGGATGCCGACACCCACTTTGCCGCATCTCTGCAGTGGACCACCGCAGCAACCCCGTTGGAGGTTCTGCCTACGTTGGACGACGACCTGTGGTATGCGGCCAGCATGGTGACGGGCAGCGACAACCTGAAGGAGCGCCGTCGGGCGTCCATCGGGGCCATCAAGGAGCTGAAGCGCAGGTGGGCGCCGGTGTCCAAGCACCTCGTGGCTTTCCAGTCCGAGGCCATCCGAGGGGTTACCTCGAAGCGCGATCTCGGGTTGTTGGGACTCTTCGTCGTTATCATGCAGTGGGGCGACTTCGCCCTCCCTCACGGATTCATCAAGGGCCTACCAGCAGTGGGCTATGCCCCTCATTACGGTGTTTTCCCCTACCTACTGCGGGAGTGAGGCCAGGTTCCACGGACTCCTTCGTCCTCGAGCAGTCCACGAAGGATCACAGGGAGGGGTTTTGCACCCCTCCTATGACCCTGAGCCAGCTCAAGCGGTACGCCAAAGGAGACCCCTACCGGCTCATACCTCGGTGTGTCATCACACAGGCGTCCGGTAAGCAACGTCTGATAGACGACGCAGCACGGGGCGGGCAATCCGCGTCATCAAGAGATTCCAACAAACTTGTTTTGTGCACGCCTCTCCGCCCAGCGCTCCACGTCCAAGCCGCCGCAGCCTGCCTCCAGGAGTGCACCTGGGAGCGGTTCGCGCAGCAGGGGCAGTGGACTGGGGCAGGAGATGATTGGCCGAATGCCTACCGCCACTGTCCCATGTCACGGCAGGAGGCCCTGGCTTGCGTGGTGGTCTGGTACCACCAGGAATGGCAGGGGCCTGCTTACCAGGTGTACCACGCCCTCCTGTTCGGCCTTCCTTTGGCGGTCACCTCCTTCAACCGCTACTCCCGGATGGCGGAGGCGCTGGGCCGGCGTTTTCTGGCAATTATGGTGTCCATGTATTTCGATGACAGTCATATTACCGACCGAGCAGTCCACGGCCCATCCGCCCAGTGGAGCTTTGGCGTCCTCAATGACCTGCTGGGCACTCCGTTTGCCGAGGAGAAGCGCCAAGGAGCTGCGGATGTCGGTACCTTCCTGGGTCTCGACTTCGACCTTTCGGAGATCCACACGCATGGGCGTGCGCGTTTTTGGGTTCGAGAGCGACTCGAGCAGAAGGTGCTCACCTTCATGCATGACGCCAGGAAGAGCGGGAAGTTCACCCCAGGGCAAGCCGCGAAGCTCTACGGCATGGTCAACTTCCTGGAGCATGGTCTCTTCGGACGCATCGGTTTAGGCGAGATCCAGGCATTGAAGGAGCACCAGTATGGGGGCTCTAGCAGTGCCAGCACCAGCCTCCTGTCGGCCTTCCATGTGTTGGAGGCCATCATCCGTATGCGCCCCAGGAGAGAGCTCATGGTTCTGCCCATGGACGTGCCGAGAGTGGTGGCAGCATCAGACGCCGCCCTGGAGGCACCCCGTCAAGGGTCAGGCGGCTACCACTTGGTCTTCCAGGACGGTGGAACGCAGGTCCGGGAAGCCTTTGTGGCCGTCATCCCCTCGCAGGTCTATGACATGTGGGGGCCAGGAGACCATAAAATAGCCCAGTTGGAGCTGTTCATGGTGGTGGTGCACGCCCTCACGGCGAGACCTGACCAGTTCCGCGGGAGACGCGGAGTGTGGTTCATCGACAACATCGCCAGTCTGATGTGTTTGATCCGGGGCCGGAGCGACAACCCCGACTTGGCCAAGATGGCGACGTACATTCAGTGTTTGCTCTTTGCGCTGCGAGCCTCACTTTACTGGGAATATATTCCATCCAAATCCAATTGGGCTGACGCGATCAGCCGACTGGGGCCCAGCGACCCATGGTACAGGGCCAACAACTTCAAGCTGAATTTCAGTCTCTTTCCTCCAGCTCTACTGAGGCTTCCGTACCGTGCAGTGATTACCTTTGCTGAGTTTCTGTGAGTGCATTGGGAGAGTTTCGAGAATAAGTGCTTTGGGAGATGTATCCTGTTTGATGCAGGGCATCCAGAGCTTATCGGGGGTAAACCCGATGTGCCGAGGAAATCGGCGAATTGACTGGGCCACAGCATGAGGAAATTCATGCTGTGGATACCAACGCAAATCCCACAGGCAAAGGTGGGTTATCAGATCCGTATAGCATCGCTGGAGTGAAAATGCTGCGGTGCTGTTTATATCAAACCTCCTTGGGAATGTAATCCTGTATCAGGTTGGAAGGCTTGGGTTTACAGGCTTCATTCTACAAGGAGCGTATTGGATCATGCGGGGCCTTTTGGCTCAAGTATGATCCAAACTGGCTAAATTTTAACCCCACCCTATCCCGCCCTAGTTCACCGGCTCCCCTGGTTGGGACGTCCGTGAACTTTGAAGAGCGCGCCGCGCTTGGGGAATGCCTGGGGGACCAGGCCCCCAGTCAGTCAGTTAGCTCTGAGGTGGGAGATGTATCCTGTTTGATGCAGGGCATCCAGAGCTTATCGGGGGTAAACCCGATGTGCCGAGGAAATCGGCGAATTGACTGGGCCACAGCATGAGGAAATTCATGCTGTGGATACCAACGCAAATCCCACAGGCAAAGGTGGGTTATCAGATCCGTATAGCATCGCTGGAGTGAAAATGCTGCGGTGCTGTTTATATCAAACCTCCTTGGGAATGAAATTTCGATTCTTGACCGGGGCGTCCATTCCAAGGGTGTTTTTTTTTGGCGGCGCACTCCGAGAATGCACCCAGCGGGTATTGACCTCATTTATGCACATGTCCGGCGAACCCCCGGGCTACTGTGCATCATTCTGGGTCCATGCGCGCCTCTCCGCATGTTCCGAGCGCGCGCCCCAGCGAAGTCGAGAGTGAACCATTCCTGGGTCGTTCTTGAAGGGTGTCAGGGTGTCATACAAAAGAAACTCAGATCCATTCTTCACCCACCTGTCTGCCTTTGTTTTTCCCCCTCGTGTTTCTTTCCCACCCGCAAAAACGTGCAACTGATCTCGGTTTTTGGCCCGGGGCGGCCCTTTGTGTTTCTTTTCCACCGGCAAGGAGCCGAAGAAAAGTTCGGTGTCCGCGTGGGTTGATTCGTCTGGTTGGATTTTGGGAAACCCATTTTACATAATTTACCTGTTTTTCCATTTACCAACCCATTTTGGGACCCATTTTTTTTGACTCACAGCCATTGGTTTGGTGGGCTCACTGGACTCGTTGGGCTAGGTGGAGAAGCAGATCATCCCCGGGTGCCAGCTGGTGGGCCGCATCAAGTCCTACAACGCGGCGCCTCGGAGGTTAGATCGATCTGGCCGCCCCCCCCCCCAACCCCCAACCCCCAGGAAGGTTGCGAATGGAAAACCGTCTTTGGGAGTTCCAGGACGGGTTCTCAGGTTTTTGGGTTCTCCTTGCTTGACCTAAAACATCGAGTGGGAAGGACTCGTGACTCGCAGGCGGCTCAAGTGTCCCTTGCCCCCCAACATCAGATACAAGAAACGTGCTCTTGGCCCAGGAGAGGAGCGGGCGAATCTGATCTAGTGGTTTTTGCCTTTCGGCAGGGTTTCTTTTTTGACTACCCCACAGTCGACTAAAACGTAGGGGTGGTTGAGTTGCCCAAAAGGGAACCCCCTTGATTTAAGTCTACCTTGGGGTAGTCAAAAAACGGAACCCTGCTTTTCGGTGTTTCTTCCCGTTGGCTCCGGTCCTTTTGACTCGTTCTTTGCAGCTGCGGTTCGCCATTGGGAGAGAGCCATGTAGTCAGGTAACCCTTAGTTGGTTTGGATTTTTTTTTTTTTTTGGCCCGTGTGGGTAACTGGGAACCACCCCCGGAACCAGAGGATAGATTTGGAAGCAATTCGGAGGTTCTCAAGCTGATCCCCTTTGCAGTGGTTGCCCTTTCAAAAGGGTGCTTGGGTGTTTGGCCAAGTAAGGTGACAACCCACTTTTTCCGGACATTCCCCTCAAGTGGAACTAGGCCTGTGGATTATAACCCAGGCGAACCATTGACCAACTTGGCGAATCGATGGCACCTTCCGCCCCGCAAGAGACGCGCCACCCGACGTTCCAGACGTGTCGGTTTGGTCCGAGGAGCGGAGTTTCGGCTTCATCAGCCCGGAGCCTCAGACGGAGCCGGAAGAGCGGAAGGGCTTGGAGCAAGCGATTGGCTTCAAGTTGACCCACGCCGTTGCTTCCAGGTAGTTTGGATGAAGTTCTTTTTGAGCGGTTTGGCGTTTTTTGGTTCTGTTCGGTTTTAGGAGTGGGCTCCAAAGCAACAAGTATGTTACAAGCATACCAAGGGGTTGGTCCTCTCAAGAATCATACCCGGATCCCGGTGTTTTTCAACACCCCCCCTATGCCTAGACCATTTTTGCTGTTCGACTTAGTTAGGCGTCGCGGTAAGTAAGTAGGTTCGTCCTGTGAGAACTCGCTTGGTTACCTTGGTAAGTTCCTATGAGCATCGTCGAAGCGTGATGTTCACCGCCTACCTGCAGATCCGATGGGCAGAGATCTTTGCGGCAGCGGCCTGCCAGTCTTGCTGGGGCCCAGCGGAACGGGCTGTCCGCTCGGATTTTGGGCCTGACGGACGAAGAAAGGCCTGCATCGCGAGCCGCACACGCCCACCGCGGCAGAAAAATCGAAGCGACGGTTGGCGCGGCTCCGATCTTTGCAGGGAAGATGTTTTTTGCCCCCAGCGGGTCCTCTGGGCAGAAGTCGGTCATGCATTCGCCAGGGCAGAAGGCATCAGAGAGCTATCTGGTGGAACTGCAGAGAGCACTACTCAGGGGAGGATCCTTTCTGGACATCAACTTGAGTGGCAGCTGGGGAACACGGCACCAAGTCCGTGTTTCTGTATGTGGGATCACTCGTCCCAGACCGTGTCTGTTTTTTAGGGCCCCCCCCCAAAATTGTGGTGTTCCTTTTGGGTTTCCTTCGAAGCCAACCAAACAGGGGTACCCTCAAAAAGGTCACACCTCTATGAGCCTTTATGGGCCATGGCAAACCGCAGGCTTTCGTTTTTGGTTCCACTCACCAAGGTGCCATGTTTTTGAACCACAGCCCTCATCACCATTTTTGGTAGCAGTCAACCCGTCAGCTCGGGTGTTGGGGGCGCCTCTTTTGTGTTCTGATGCCAAAGGGGGCATTTCGCCGAAGGCGTGGAGGGCCAGACGGCGGACGTGCGGCTTGGCTTCTGAATCGGCCGCAATCGATCGGCGCTGCGCGCGAGCGGCTGGGAGAGGCAAAAAAAAAGCTGGAAGGTTATGGTCCATTCACCTGGACTGCTATTGGGCAACGGATCTTTAGACTTTCACTTTTTGGTTGGAATGAAGTGGCTCTTCCACTGAACCCACAACAAGTTGTTCACTTTTGCAGAGGGGTCGACAGCAACCAAGAGTCTTGCTCTCGGGGTTCATCGACTGTAGTCACTTTCTGGGGACCGGGACCATTTGGGTGTGGTTGTACTTGAGGGTACGCTTTTTTGGGAGGTTGGTTTAAGGGGAAACCAAACGTAAAGCCGGGGTTTTCCATTCTCCCCCCAAGCAAAAGAAGCACATTTGTGTGGTAAACAACAACTCGTTCTTCCTGTCCAATCCGCTCAGGCGAGGATTGGCAGGAGCTTCTGTCCTTTTGGGCCAAGAGCTCCGACTTGACGGTCGAGTGGGAGCAAACCAGTTTCCCCGCCTGTGAGACCAGGCCAAGCCAGTGCATGAATCGAGGGGTTGATTCCTTTTCCATTCTTTTCAACTTTTCAAAAGCCGATCGCTTTTTCCCTGGGCTTTCGATGGTTTCCTGAAAAGATTCGGATCCCGTTCGAAAGAATGGAAATGGAAGGTAGCCCTAGAGCATAGGGTGAATCTGATCCCGCGAATTACATCACTCATGACCCGAGCTCACCACTGGGGTGAGAGGGCCGATTTCCCAAGATGAAGTTCCATCAGGCAGGACAAAAAGTATGTGTCGAAATAGGGGGAGAAAAAGATGTTGTTGGTTTTTCCATTTTGGGTTCGGAAGTCCCAAAATGGGGGGGGGGTTGTGCTTGGTTTCCCGACTATTCACCCTAGCCTCGACCACAACTGTGTTGGTCGATGGGTTGGGCTCTGATCGTGAGCTGCTGCTCAAGGCAGTTCGGGTTGTCTCAGCTGACCTAAAACGCCACACGCAGGCAAGATGGCTGTGGGTCAAAACCAATGGTACCATTTTGTGGCAGGTGCACCACCCATTTTAATCGATTTTAGTGGGGATTGGGATGTTCACTGGGGGTATCGGGCGCAGATCAATCGACCGTGATGTGGGGATCCAATTCGAATTTCAGCTTTACTTCTTGTTGCAGAAGTTGCCGATTTGCTTGTTTCATTGTAGAGTGGGGGATGGCAGGGGGAAGAATTCGCCAAACAACCAGGGATGGTAAAAGGCTGTGCAGAAGGTTTGGGTTGGAGCCTTTTTTTGGATGCCTCACACATAGGGTCCGTGTCTCAGTGGTGCTTTTTTTGGGGGAGATCCCCGGTCCCCACCCCAACACTCACCGACCGAGAGACCTCCGGCGACCCGGGCGTTGGCGACTCGAGGTATTTCCAAATCTGGGTGCGTGGCTCAGTTGGGCGGCGTAGCCGAGAGTGCGAACAGGACCCCAAGACTTGGACGTAAACCCACTGCTATTTGCTGAAGCGTGTTTTTCGTTTTCCCCTGTTGGTTTCAAAGGGAACCCGATTCTACCACTGGCATATGTTGAAAAATACATCAATTCGGGGACTTCAAATGGAGGCCCGGGTGATCCATAGGGGAATCTCCCCACATGAGGGGGCGTGAGAATTTTGGGACTGCGTAATGGCGACCCGACAAAAGCAGGCAAGCCCATGCGCTTGTTGGTTGGAGCATATGATGTTTTCGCTAGTTCCATTGGGAACGTTGTCATGAAACCCAGGAGCCCCGAAGATTGTAGAGGTATCCAAAACCAGCTCAGAAAAGAGGGTCCCCGAAACAGGCCCCAGACAGGGGCCCGGCACGAGAGACGGGTCTCTGGTCTCTGGGTCTCTGGGTCTCTGGGTCGGACTCGAGGACCTCATCGAGGAGTTGAAGAGCCAAGTGGACGCCCACGGACCCGAGTCCCTGGTCCCCGGGGCACCTCGGACCTCGCTTTTTGGGCGCCTTTGCGCAACACCAGGCCCCTCTTGTGGGGCAAGAAGCTTGGTTTTAAAGAAATTCGAGGGGCGTTTTTTTTTTTGGGGGGGGGGTTTTAAAGATGCGGCAGATATTGAGGGGGCCACCAGGAATATAGGGGCCAAGTTAGAACTCACTCCCTGGGTTCCCCCCAGTCAGTTTTTGGGAACCCCCCAAATTAGTGGAAAACAACAAGTTGTTCAGCTTTTTCTGGCCAAACCAAGTACTTCAAAGCAATAGATTTAGGCATTATAGAGATAGCCTGAGATAGCCTATTAGAAAGTAGTTTGCCTCTTATATCAGTGGCCTAGTTTGGTATTGGGCGGAGCCAAGGACCCATTTGCGCCTGATGCCTCATACAGTAGCTTTCAGGGAGCCAACATGGATGCCCGTTTACCACAAAGGATGGCGACATGAGCAATTTGGAGCTTGTCAAGCACAAGTGATGTCACAGGCTGAAACGGTGGCGTTTGCAGATTGGAATTAATTATAGGCTTCTTTGTTGTTCTGATTTCCGTTGCATGGGGGGAAGTCCTACGGGGATTTCAAGGACTGCCGGATCCTATTCGGACACACTTTGATAAATCTGAAGTTTGGGCAAAAGAAACGTACCAGCATGTTTGCACGTGCGCGAGAGATCACCCAGAGAGCGAAAGGGGAACTCAGGAGTAGTAACCCTGTGGTGGATTTGCGGGGGAGGGGATGGCGTCGCATGTTTGAGGGTCTCCCTTTCACTCTCGATGAATCCGGTTGAAGTGATTTGTCAAGCTTTGCTACCTGGCTGGTCTTTGGTGTGACCAAATCACCCCTTAGACCGTTTGGAAACAAATGGCTTTTCCAATTGCTCATGGAGGCTTGGAGCTGTGATTAAATCCAGACAGACCCAAGATGAAGCAGGTGAGTGGTCTATTTCAGAAATGGCAGTTCGGTTTCCTTTTAGGTTCCTTTCAAACTAAAAGGTGGTTCGAGTCCTAACTCCATTTGAGTGGCTCGTTTTCTGGATATTATAGGGAAAACCACCAAAATGGATCCAGCCTTAAAAACGACGCACTTGGGTGTTTGTTGCCAGTAAGTTGTTGGGAACCACTCGGTGAACCCTCTTAGTCGCTTATCACCCAGGTGGGCAGCCGTTGTTTCTATCTTGGGCGAATTGATCGTCCAAGAACCACTACCATCAGAAGACATTGGGGCATATAACCCATTTACATTGTATATATATATAATGGGCAGTTCATGGGGGGGTAGTTCATGGGGGGTCTGACCATATGTGTACATATATATATATATATTTATGTATATACATATATATGTATATATATATATATATAGTGGCTTCGGTTTGGGGGCAGCGGGTTTCCCCATTTCGAGTCCCCACCTCAGGCCGCAGTGAGCTTCTGGCTGCAGCTCATGCCAGGCGCGCCGAGCGCCTGAGCGCCCGAGCGACCTTGGCGACCTTGGCGACCTTGGCGACCTTGGCCCGGACGAAAAGAAAAACCCAACGTTTGTGGCCCGGAGAGAGTTGTTCCATTCGCAAATCAGTTTTTTTTTGATTATTATTTATCCCTTGTTGACATAGTTGTGAACCAATCTTTAAAGCTGCTACGTTTAAAGCACGGAAATACGGTTTTCTTTTGTTTTGGGAAACACCTGGGTGTGTCTTTTGTAAGGTTGGACCCCCGCAACATGGGTTGGTTTCCTTTTTGGTTTCTCTTTAAAGCTACCCAAAAGGGGGGACCAAACCTACCGAAGGTCGATCATGGCCTTCTGCTCGGGGCTTGCAGCAACCCAGCTAAGCCATGATTTTCGGATTTTCCTTAGGAGACCAAAAGTAAAAGAGGATGGATCGTGTCCAGACCCATTTCCGCCCATTGAGCAGCAAGACTTGTGGGGGCAAATCGCATCCGCTTGATCCAACCTTCACTTTGTTTTTTCAAAGTGACCAATGTAAGAAGCCAAAAGGAAGCAGAAGGGGCCGCCATCATGGGGCCTCTCAAGGGAAGACACAGACACACAGACGATTTTTGGGGGATATCCCCCTTACCATTCGGAGGAAACGGCTTACGGAAGGTTCTGGCCGTAACGTTTGACTGAACTGTAAGACGTGCAATCCGGGTATGGCTCACAATTTCAGAGCTAGGGCAAACCGCAGGTGTCAGTCTTTGGTTCCATGTACCAAGTTTTTGTATCTATTTTTGAACCACAGCCATTTCCGTTTTCTTTTCTTGGAGGGAACGGTTCTTTTCTTTGGGTGCCATTTTTTGAGCCACGACCATTTGACGAACTCTTCTGAGATACTTAGGACATCAGGGTTTGGGGGTTCTCCGGCGACCTTTCGCCAATGAGAAGCGTCCAACCACCTCTCCGGTCTCTCCTTGGGTTCCGCAAGCGACCAACAAACATGGGCGCCATCTTTTTGAGCCGCAGCCACATGGACTTGTGGACCCCTTGTTTTTTTCGGCCTCTCGGGTTCCGAACGCCAAACATGGCATTTGAGCCACAGCCACCCAGTCGAACCTCCACCCACCGCTGACCTCTCCGCGCCCGCGGTTGCGAGCGAGCGAGCGCGCGAGGCGGCGGGCGGCTGCGTGCCCGGGACGTGGCGCTGGCCGACAACCCGGTGAGCGAGCCGGCGGCGGCCGCTCGGACGGAGACCGAAGCGACGCCTCGGTGAGTCGAGGCGATTTTTTTCCGCTCTCGGAAAACCCGAGGAGGGGCCGAACACAAAAACCAGGGGTCCCTATATTTCACATTTCTAGCGGTTTTCCAATTTCTAGCGGGTTGAAACATCACCTTTTGGGCCACTTTGAAGTGAGCTTCCTTTTGGTGGGTGATGTTCAAAAGGGAAATATAGAAAGCCCTGACAAAATGGGTCCACTTTAGGTTGTAGCTCAAGAAAATGTACCAACATGGCACCTTACATGGAACCAAACACTGACACCCGCAGTTTGCCCTAGCTCTTCAATTTGGAGCCACACCCAGATGGGCGGTGGTAAAACAAGTGGCTAACTTAGTGGGCTTTCCTTTGGATCTCTTTTACCCTAAGCGCCAGAAAGGGCCCATAGAAACCCCGGGATCGACTTCCTTTTGGACAGGCGAGCTTCATCTTGGGCTTCCTCAAGGAGGGCCCAAGATGCAGAAAGGCCAAACCACTCCTTCCTCGCGCCATGGGAAGGACCCTCCATAGAAAACCCGAAGCTCCATCGAAGGGAGCTCCCCCCCCTCCGGACGGATGGATCCCATCGGCTCGTTTTTGGGGGCGGGGCGGAGCGAGCGGGCGGAGCGCGGAGCGGCGGGGCTCAGGTGGAGGCGGCCGTGCTGAAAGCCGCGGCGGTGGCCAACGAGGCGCCGTGGCGTGGCGCCGTGGCGTTGTGGCGCGTGGCCCGTGGCGTTGTGAGGGATGCGCGGGGAGCCAAAAAGGAGCAGGGTTTGGCTTTTTTTCCACGAGTGTGTGGGATAAAAATCAGCAGCCTTTCTGGTAGTGTAGAAACCCTTTACGGTTGGGATAAAAATCAGCTCTGGTAGTGTAGAAACCCTTTTCAAGGGTTCATTTTTCAAGGGGGGTGTAGAAACCCTTTTCAAGGGAGGCGGTTCATTTCGGTGGCAAAGGCAAACCCTGCTCTTGGAGAGGACATGTTCCAAACGGAGCGGACCAGCGGGCGAATGAACAAAGAGAAAATCCAACAAGCAAGTCCGAGCGAGCGGACGATGGAGCGAGGAAACGGAGAAACTGACGTGCAAGGAAGCAACGAAACAAACACAACCGCGCAAAACAAAGAAGCCGACGAGCAAGCAAACGAAAAAAAGAAGCGAACCAGCAAGCAGCCAAGCAAACCAACCCACAACTCTCCTACAAAGCATTGATGGGCTACCCCCTTTTGGAAGACTGCATTCTTGGTAAGCCGGTGCACTTCCTGTACTTCCATTTTTGGGGGAAGGACAAAAACACACAAACACACAAGCAAATGGGGGACCTTTCACTTGGGTCCCTCCTCCCCCTCTATCAGTAGGGGGGATCACACACACACACACACACACTCTGCAGCAAGTGCCACCTCAAAAATCCGCGAAACCTGAAGGACAGAGGAGGTTCTCAGTTGGCTCTAGGCGCTTCCACTGGTGCATTCAAACACCCCTGCAGAAAACCAAGTTGGAACTACGGCAAGTTGCCATTGGTGGTGGTTGGTGTACTTGCCGTAGTCACTCCCTGAGTTCCTGGACTTTCAACACTTTTTGGGAAGACCGTTCTAGCGGTAGATAGACTTGTTTTGGCCAATCCACTCAGGAATCAGCTCGCTTAAGACAATCCGACAGAAGATCTTATGCTTGGTGAAGTCTCTTTTTGGGTTCTCGCTGGCTGGCTGGGTGTGCCCGAAACTTTCCTCATTGGTTTGTGAGTCAGATACAGACGGGTACGCACTCATTTGGGGGTTGATCAATATTCCTGGCTCCCGAATGACCATGGGTAACTTTTCCAATTTGGTTGGAAATAGAATCTTAGTGGTTTCCCCAATGGTCATCCCATGTAGAGGACCTTTTGATCCACCCCCATTGTTCTAAACTCCTAAATCTGGTCGCAATGGGTTAAATTTAAGCAGGGGGCATGAAAAGGAGGTTGCTTGGCTGGTCTTTCGTGTGACCAGATTGTTGCCTAGACCTTTTGGAAACACATGAATTCCTTTTTTTCATTGGGGGTTGGAAAGTTGCGTCTGATGTTGGCCCCCCCACTCCCCACCTTCCACCCCCCCGCCTCCACCCAGCCGATTGGCCGCTTGTCAGGCCATCATCCCGGGCACCGGGAGCGTGCTGTACGACGGCGCGGAGGTCAGCGGGAAGGTTCGGACCTTCAACCAGGAGTCAAGCCATGCGGCAATGCGCCGGGTCGGGGCCATCGGGGCTATGGGGGAAAAAATAAATAAAACAGAAACAGGGCGCGTTCCCATCCCGGAGCGGCGCTCACCTCCGACTCCTCGGCGAGGAGAGAGGCTTCGGCTTCATCAACGTGGACGGGGACGAGATGGACCTTTACTTCCACGCAAAGGACATGCTCCCGGAGACCCAGCAGAAGGCGGCCCAAAAGGTATTTAGCATGTGCATAAAAGGCGTTTTTTTTTTTTTTTTTTTTTTTGTGGTTTTGATGTATAAGTATAATGTTAACCCCGGAATAATAAACGCCTGGTTGATTAATAGGTGGGTGTCCCCTTTCAGTGGGGATTCATCATTTTTTGGAGGGAACCCCCCCTAATAATGGAACGGGTTTATTAATCCTGTGTCAACATTATGAAGATGGGGGGTTTTTCAAAATAGATTTAGGAGCCCAATTTTCGAATTTTGTTTGAACGGCCTGTTTGAAAGAAGAGGTGTTTCGAGGCTGCCATCGCACCGGGTCGTTTTGGGCCCTGTCGTCTCAGTCCCATGATGGCAGGTGTCGGGGGGCTTGGATCTGGTGGGTCAAAGAGCGCCTTGGATGCAGTGCGCGAGAGAGCGACGTGCCACGCCCAGGGTTCGACGCCTCCGAAAGGTAGCTGGGCACAGGTGTCCTTTTCGGTTCTGTTGGTAGAAGAATAGGGTGGCGATTCCTGGTTTCCCTGGTGGTTTACCTGGTGGTTTTGGTGGTTTACCTGGTTTACCTGGTGGTTTACCTGGTGGTTTTGGTGGTTTACCTGGTGGTTTTGGTGGTTTACCTGGTTTACTTGGTGGTTTACCTGGTTTACCTGGTGGCTTACCTGGTTTGCCTGGTGGTTTAGTCATCTACCAGGGAAGCCCATCTATTTCCCCTCAAAGGACGCCTATGTAACTGGGTGTTCAGCCCCCAAAATAGAGCCGTCACACCGTAGGTTCAAGACACAGGGATCAACCCTGACGGTTTGGATGTGGCTTTCTGGATGTACCGCTGTAGGATATTAAACGAGTGCTAAAAGACTACTAACAATGGACCAACACAAAAAAAGAGCAGGTGAAATCCCACAGCAAACCACATCTGAGCCGTTTTCCAGGCAGATAACACCCTCAAACGCCTTGGTTGTGAATGGACCTCACTTCACGAGGACACCCCCAAAAAGATGCCAGAAAGGATTTGGCGAATCGGGAGGTGGGTGGAAAGGTCGTGTCGCTGCTTCGCTACACCCGCCTGCAAGGTTTGGTTCTGGGCGGAGATGCTGGATAACGGAATGGGCAGCAGATGGCGCTGCCATGTGGCCTGGCGTGTTGGCTTTGTCGAGCTGCGTTTTTTTTTCCTTTGAGAAGAAGAAACCGGTAGGCGACTTGGGACATGGGGAAACCTGGGAATCACAGCCCCCCTTGAGCTGTAAAGGGAAACCACGACATTTCCAGACAGGCTCCTCTCTACTTCTTTATGGCTATGTGGCTGGATCTTTGGACTGTTATCTTTTTGGGAAATGATGGATTGTCCATTAGGGTCAACAGCAACCAAGTACACTGTATACTTTGTGTTGCATTTTGCTTGGATGTTAGGACTGTAACTTTTTGCCAACTCATGGGTGTTCCGTATTAAACCACTAAAAGTTAGTCACTTTTAGCAGGGGAGCAGATTTTGCACCCGAGTACTGTGGCTCAAAGTGTTTGAGACATTTGCCAGGAACCGCGGCTTTGAGTCGACATTTGACCATTCAGTGGGTTCATTTCATTTGGGGCCTATTCTTATTTTTCAGCCACGCCCATATTTTTTGTTGCGCCTTTTTCGGGTTTCCTCTCAACCGCGAGACGGTTATCCTTTTTGCACGTCGAAGTCTGGCCTACGTATGTGGGACATACTGGGCATTTTTTTTTTTTTAGGTAATTGCTCTTTTATGGCATGCTACGGGAAACCAACAAGCTGCACCCCATTGTTGGGTTTCCGATTTGGGCTTGTGTCAAAATGGGGGACCCCCAAAATGGTTCCATCTCCATGTTTCCTTTTACACCAACAACAAGGGTACCCCCTCACCCCAAAAGAAAACAAAAACACAAAACATGGGGTGGGGGGCACTTAGACACAGACAAAGCCATGCATTGTGTTGCGTTGAACCGCACCGTTTCCTTCTTTTCTCAGTCAACATGTAGGACATCGGCCTCTCCTTCCGGCGCTCGGATGCGCCTCCTTCGAAAAGAGCAAGGTGCCTCGAGCTGTACGGTTGGAAGGGGGGGAAGCTTACATTTGCAACCGAGGTTTGGGGGGAGAAACCTGGGGCTCTTTGAAGACTTCGATTTTTGCGTCTCGGAATATGTGTTTTTCTCCATTTTTGCTTGTTGGTTTTAAGGGGAATCTGTCACCATTGGACTTTTTTTTTCCAGGGGGCAAAAAAACGCAAATTGGTGGATGCTTTGGGGACCGGGGAAAGGTGGGCAGGGGAGAGGGGAAATCAGCGTCCAGTTGGCTTGGCACAGCTTCCAGTTGCCGGGTGGATTCTGCGGGTTCCCCCTCTCCCCCTCTCGGCTCTCGGGATGTGCCCCCTGTTTTTCATGCACCACTAACCAAGACTGCTGCCGCAAGCTACCAAATTTCGCCAAGTGGCAAGTGGGCACGAGATCGCCATGCTTGACCCAAAAATGATGTCGCCTTGGGCAACAGAAGGAAGGCTTGTACAGGGGAATTGAGATAAGGCTTCGGCGCAACCTGACAGGGTTCACACAAGGAATTTTGTCGACCCTGGCGTGCTTGTGGCATAGCATCCCACAGTGGGGGGGGGGGCATTTTGCAGGGGAAAGATCCCACCACAAAGTATAGATATACTCACGTTTAGAACATCTTCAAGTCCAATCGCTACGATATGTCTCAACCCGGATACCTTCTTTACTCGAAAAGGAAAGCACGCGCCTTGCACGTAGGGTGTGTGTCCACCATCGGATTTATGGCTTCAGCTGGTCACTTTCGGTGAGCCATGCCGTGGGGAATCCAAATCCTCGGGATGTGGAAGCCCAGTTGCCTCTTGTTTTCACGCGACACCTCCCGAATGGATTTGGGGCGGGCTGGGATCTATGCCAAAGGGATGGTTTCCGGTTTTCGTTCACCAACCAACCGTTTGGGTTCCCACAGATATCAAAAAGAAGGTTCCTTTACTCGAGGTTGTCAAACGTTGGGTTGGTCATCCACCCTCTAGTAAGGATCCTTGAGCATAGATTTTCAAGGGAACCATGACCCAATCGGAGACTCCACCCCTAGCACCCCGCACCGCACCCAGCCCACCCGCAGCACCCATGGCATACACGTCCCACAGCCTCTCCTGGGCGCCAGCCCCCGCGCGATTTCTCAGGACGGAAGGGCTAGACAACCCGCCAGGCTTGGGAAGCGCGTCGTGAGTCGTGGGTGGGAGGTACCCCCCAAAAACGAGAGAGAACCTCGGGCGGTTTTGTCCGTTCAAGACGTGAATTTTGTTGAGTTGAGCCAACTACAGTAGTCAAAGGGCAATTGTTTGCCTGTGAGAGTTCTCTTTGTGCTTCGTTCGAACTGGGGAGTCCCCGAAATGAACACAGGTGTCCCTTTAAGCCAGCGTGGAGCTTCTTCGCTGGCGCTGGTTGCAGGTTGGTTCGAATCAGACAACTGCCAACTATTGGGCCATGGGTCAAAAGCCAAATCGTACCCCCAGTGAACATCCCAATGCCCACTAAAATAGGTTCTAAAATGGGTGGTGCACCTACCCCTATTGATTTTGACCCACAGCCATTGCACTCTTTCCGAACATCTTGGAATACAGGAGGCTTTCCGAGGAGTGTTCTCTTCAAGCAACCCCTAGGGTATGCCGTTGGCTGAACACATGGGAAGTCGCGCTGCATCGAACGCCGGTTGGGTCCTTGGAGGTCACCAGATGAATGGCCACTCGCGGCTCGTCTGGGAATTGGGGGCATTGGGCTTGAAACCTGAAAGAATTAGTTCCCCCTCCCTGGACTTGGCCAGATTTTGGACCATTTTGGTACAAAAAATGGGTTGTTCAAGAAAAAAGAATACTGCTCGGGTTTTGGACCATTTTGGTACAACTAAGCTGGGTAGTTCAAGGTATTGGCCAAGGTCTCCACTTCGAGCAGCCCAGAATAAATGAAGACAACATTACACCTCACTGTTGGATCAAGTCGTGAAAATGTCGACTTTTTTTTCTTTTTCTCATCAACCCCGGTTTGTTACTAGGTGTGTGTGTGTGTGTGTGTCCTTTTTTGCCTTTTCTGGCTATGTTCATTGTTCGTAGGCTGCTAAAAGCCTTCAGTGTTTTGCATACCCATGCCACAAGGGTTGGAAAGCGGCCGCTCGCATGCCGTGCGGGGAGTGACCTTCATTCATGGCCGCTTCTCGGCCAACACTTTTTGGGTCTGAACTTTCCCTCAGGAAGCCGAAAGGCTCACTTCCCGAATTCCCCCGAGCTTTTCATTTTTTGGGTTTGACCCATTCTAGCGGTAAATAACAAAGGTTGGTTCCCCCTTTTTTTTGGGGGCCGTCCACTCGATCGGTAGTGAGGAGGGCACCTCTCCGCTGCGAAAGTCAAGCCTTCCCCCCCAAAGAAGACAAAGGTCGAAGCCAACATTTTATACCCAGCTCGACCTTCGTGGCCAAAGGAAGTGAGTGACGCCCCCTTTGTTTGACCTGATCGTGAGCCAAGGAGCCAACAGTGAGGAAGGCGCTTTCGAAAGCTTCCCTCAAGGAATCCGAAGCGGCGAGTCAGAAGCGAAAGTGGGAAACTCCACGTATGGCACAATTGGAAGCCGTCGGGCAAGCTCGCAAGCCGCTCTAACCTCACCTTTGTGCGGTAAAAACAAATCAACATGACCTGTGGGTGTGGTTGCCCTTCTTTCTTTTCAGAGGTGGTTTCCAAACACAGGTGGTTGTTCAGGATGGGGGAAAGGCGATTCCTTGGAAGTTAGGTGCTCAGTCCTGTCGCCTCGCGTTCGGCGCGAGCCGACGAAGCGAGCCTCGTTTTCCCCGACTCCGCGCCGTCTCACCTGGGTGCATCTCGTGCGCCGAGCGAAACCGAGCGAATGTGGCGGGGGTTAAAATGATCGAGCGAGAGCGAAAACAAAAGCCGTGGCAAAATGTGTGTGTGTGTGTATTATTTTTGTGGTACCCCTTTTGGGGGTTGTTTCAAAGGGAAACCAAAAGGAACCCACGCGTTTTAGGGGTCGGGGGTCCCCTGCTTTGACACACCCAATGCAAGCACAAGGCATTTCTGGGTGTCTTCGGAATCGGAGGATCCACCCCCTCCCTTGTTTCGGGTTAGATGTTCTCTGCTGGCAAGTGAGGAAACAGCCGCAAAAAGGCGAATGCTCATTCTCTCCCACTTGGATGGAGCTTAGGTTGGCACCATCTGAGAGCTGCCCGGTTCTCGTTTCCCTAGACTAAGCCGAAGAACCGGTGCCTTGGAGCCAGGTGGTTTGGATTTGGAGTTGACCCCCCTCTCTTGTAGAGGGCAAACGGGAAGCCACCGTCCGGAACACCTCCAAGCCACCAACTAGGGGGAAGCTGATAGACGGCAGTCACTTTTCGGGAAGTTCATGTTCGCAAGCAAGAAGTCCGGACTTTTTCCGGACTGTCGCCCAGTCAGGGCAACTTCCTGACCGCTGACCCGTCAGATTCGTTGTCAACAAACTCAACTTCACTGTTGGCGGATCCTGTTTTCAGGTTGTTTGCTTCTTCATTTTCGGCAGGCTGCAAAACAAGCACACCGTACACGTACTTTCTTTTTCTGTTGTTGGTAAAACTACTACCAGTCCGTTTGGGTTCAGTTCAACACCCATGGTTTCATCCTGGGGATTTGACTTTCAAAGCCGGGGCTTCAACCGTTAGACTCTGCGCCAGGCAGCCGGGCGGACGACTCCCACCGGAGCCAAGGCGGTTCTTTCCATTTTTGGCCAACGGGCGCTGTTTTTTTTTTTTTTCTCCGAGGGTAGCAGGGGCCTTGAAGGTGGCACTTTGAGTGTTTCTCCAAGTTTTTAGGGGTTGACTCCTCTTCCATTCTTTTCAACCATCGTTCTTTCCAAGAAACGGCCGTTTTCCCTCGGTTTCCGGAGGTTTTCTAGAAAGAAGGATCCCTGGAAAGAATGGGGAAGGTACCCCTAGAAAATTGCTTTTGGCTGGGAAAGCCCTCTACCGTTGAGTTCGGGTAGCCTGGAGGATGTCGTAGTAATTTCCTTCGGATGGTTGCGAAATCCATTTCGCGCCACCTAAGAATCCCTGCAATGATTCGACTCCACAACGTAAAGACTAACTAACTGTTTCAAACATGGTTTCACGACCCCCCCCAACATAAATAACAGCTATTGGTTTCAACCGTGGTTTCACTTCGTGCGAGACTCTCGGGTTTCACAACCATCCACACTAATGTGTGTTCCCCCAAACCGTGAGAAGGTTTCCCACTGGGGCACCCCCTATTCAACCGGGGAGTGGACTCGACTCCACCACTCTTTTTGCCCATGTGATTGGCAAAAGGGGAAGTTGGGCGTCGGTCCTTTGCTTTGAACCAGCCGTGGTGTGTCTTCTCTTGGTTGTGGTCACGTAGTTGAAACCCCAGGCGAGCTGGCGCTTGCCCTCAAGCCTGCCAGCACAACGTGCGTGAGTGATCCCCAGTTGGTCTTGTTGGCTCACATCTGGGTTACACAGATGTAGCATGTCTCATGAAAAACTTATCCTAACAAATCAAACAGCTTTGGAGACATATGAAAGAGTTTTGGAGGAGGGCCCTACTAAAATAGACTACACAAAAAAGTGTACCCTTTTTCTAACCTCTCTACTGGAGGACCTAGTAGATGGCACTGGTTTGCCTTTGGTTCTACAGATCTACCGGTGAAAGCCATCTATTTTTTCCAAAAGGACACCTATGTACGTGTCCCTTTTCAGTGGTCATAAAGATAACCTTTCGGTGCGTTTGCGTTTGGGGTGATGTTACGGGAACGGTTGGCTCGCTTAAAAAATAGAGGGGTTTGCCTGGTTTAGATGGTTGGTTTATTGCCCATTTACCAGGGAAACCCATCAATTTTCCAAAAGGCCACCTATGCTAAAGTGATGGATTCAGAAAGAAAGACTAGGCCGCCTCCCTCCCCCTTTTTAAAACAATCTGGGTGTCTGTTTTGGGGGACCCCCCAAGCTTCTGGTTCTCCTTTTGCTGTCCCTGTGAAACCATAAAAACGGCTACCCTCAATTTGTTTTTGCCACCCACCTCCATTTGGCTTCGCAACCAGGGAATCGGCGAAGCGGACACCAAAGGCAGAGCCACCCCCCAAAAAACCACTTAAAGCCTTCTAAACAGGCGCTTCCGCCGTGGACTGGCAAGAAGAAATGAGTGCCACCAGAATGGTCTGCCCGAAAGTATCAAGTGAGGGAACTCAGGCAGTGAGTAGAGAGAAAGTGGACTGGGTCCAGGGCAAAAAAAACATTGAAAATTGGTAGGGAGTATGATGCAACCAACAATAGGAGAGTTGTGCCATCTGCTTTCAACCAACTGTATGCAACATCCCCCATTTCACCCTCTTAATTCCGATTCCATGCTCTTACAATTGGCCCTGAGAGCGGATTTGCGAAGAGAATGGGGAACCAACCCTTAGATCTAGCTGGTGGTTGGAAGGGAGCCGGAGGAATCTAGCTGGGACCCGAAATCCAAATATTTGCTTTTCACGCAGGAGCCGGGACAAAGTTAGATACTCTCTCAAAACTGGGCAGGTGGATCCTACACTCCAAAATGACACCAAAGGGCCCCTCAAGAAGAAAAGAAGAAGGTGCTTCCCCTTGGGTGCTTCCCCTTTTAAGGAGACGTTAAGGAAGCCTTTACAAAGAGACATTTGTAGGGCAAGCCGAGGAAGCTATGGAAGCTGTGTCAGGAAGCCGCCGGCAAAAGCTCCCAGGACTGGGCTTTAGTGGCTCCCAAGGCTCCACCCCTCTTGGGAACCCCCCCACCCCCTGACTGACGAACCCCCCCACCCCCTGACTGACGAACCCCCCCTTCCTTGGGAACCCCCACCTTCCTTGGGAACCCCCACCTTTACCCCCCTCGGCTGACGGGATCGACGCTCGACACTCGATCGATCGCGTCAGAACTCCGCGAGGCTCTCAGCCCGTGGCGCGCACGCTGAGCAGCGCCCTCCGCCAGCGAAGCGCTCGGAGTGCGCTGGGCCTTCGAAACGAGCGGGGCACAGCGAGGAAGCCCGAAAACCCCGAGCCTTCCGTTTGAAAACCACAACTAGTTTTTTTTGGTGTGTGTGTGTGTGTGTTTGCTCATGTTTTAAACCAAAACAACAGGAAAGCCTCGAGAAACCATCACAACACAAGCATTGGGGGGTTGAACCAAGGATTCTCCCTTCAGTTTTTGTTGGTTCTCGAGGTTTTTGGTGTGGGTCTTTTTTTCAAGCACCAGGAAACCAGGATATGGACCGGTTGAACCCCCCCGGACTAAACCGGAAGCTTCCAGGAGCCTTCTGAAAGACTTGGTTCCATTCAAAGAGGCCTTCTGGTAGGTTCGATGTCAGTGTGAGGGAGATTTACCTCTTAGCACTTCAGGTCGCCTGCTGTGGATGGTGGCGAAATCCGCATTCCGCACCACGAAATGTCGAAACATTCTATAATGGATTCTTACGCGGTGCAGGTTTTCGTCCATCCACAGCAGGCAAATGGAATCAGTGGGGTGATACAAATACAAACTCTCCACGCAAATAGGATGCTCTCATTTTTTCCTGGGGACTTATTCGCAAATGGAAGAATCCAGACGCAAACGAGACCCGGAATCCGTGTCCGTGGGATGGTTGGCTGGGTAAGGTTGGTTGGTTGCGACCCACATTTTCTCTTCCCTTTGCGGATTGAGCTGTCCTAAAATAGGGGACCCCAAAAATTTGTGAGATGAGCGACGTGCCTCAGGATGAGCCTCAACTTCGCGTCGAGGCAAGATGAGCCGCTTGGTCGCATGCTGGGGGGGGGGGGAGGGGGGAGGGGGAGGGGGAGGGGGGGGAGGGCACTTCCCAAGGACTCACCCAAGTCCCGTGTCAGATGGGGGATGCAGCAAATATTGGCCGTGGCTCATGTAATGTTGACCAGTTGACTCCTATTAATCAACCCACCAGTTTATTGTTAGAGGTCCCGGTGTCCCTCAGCGAAATGTGGGAATCAACCTTTGAATAAACAGGGATCGATTAATGTGGGGTCAACGTGAACTTATCCATTGCAGCCACCGCACTCAAGAGGCATCCTGAATTGCCACATCTCGTCACCATGCTGCGGTTGATGTGCGCTATGACCATGGTGCTGGCCGCCGAAGCCGCGCATGGCTTGGATAACAACTGGACGGTGATGGTCACGGGGATGAAGGACGGCAACGGCTGTATGAAGGCGACGTCGGTGGAGGATATGGGCTCCAACCTCGTGACATCCACCCCCACGTGCTTGTCGGCAACCCAGATGTGCACGGACGACTACGAGTGCACCACGGCGCGAGCTTTGAAACCCACCAGCTTCACGGGCTGCACCTTTGATGAGAGCACCGCGGCTGCTACCTCGGCTGTGGGGCTGTTGATGGATGGCTTATGCTACAACAACTTCGTGGTGGAGCAGAAGAGCCTTTGGCGCATTTTGCCAAGGGATGTTAGGACTTCAACTTTTTGATCCAACTAGTGGGTGGTTTCCGTATGAAATCGCAAGAAGTTCGTCGCCTTTTAGCAGGGGAGCAGAGATGTGAGGGTCTTTTTATTACACCCTGGGAGTACGCCCTTGGGCAATGACCCATAATGATGCAACATAACACGTTTTTTTTTTCTTCCCCGGACATGTGCCTAAATCGGGTCAATACCCAGCGGGTGTATTCTCAGGGTGTAATACAAAAGCCCTTGGAAGAAAGTAACCGAGGAACTTCAACGGTGCCCCTGGCTTGGCGCCCGACAAGGTGCATGTGCGCAGCGAGGCACACCTCCACACTCGAGCGTGCCTGGTAGTCAGCTACTGCGCCAAGACGGGGTTCTATCTGGTGACGCGCCCTTCCAGCTCGGCAGACTATGCCTTCGAAGCACAGATGGACAGCGCCAGTGCAGAGAAGGTCTTTGATTTCCTGATCGAAGCCAGGCATCCTTGCGGCACCACCACAACCACGACAGGACAAACCGTGAGCTCAGGAGCGAATGCTCCAGCTTTGGCATCCCTGGCGAGTGCAATGAGTTTTGTGGCTTTACATTGACGTTAGTCCGCTTTGCAGCCCAAAGGGCTGACATCGGACTGGCGCATGTAATGCGGCACGTCGAGCGAGCCGAATCGGGCTCTTCAAAGAACTGTAAAGTAATTGAATGTTGGCAACACCTTTGGGTGCAAAGTTTGCGAAGCTGTGCCTTGACGGACGTTGGCAGGATGTGCCACGCTTATCAGAGGCAAAAAGTCGCCGGAGAGGCCAACCCCTAACCTCTGGTGTCCCAAGTATCTCAGAAGGGTTTAGTCAAATGGCAGTGGCTCAAATAAATGACTCAACACGGCACCTTGCCAAATGGAACCAATAGCGAAAACCTGCGGTTTGCCCTAGCTCTTGAACAGGGCTCCTTAAAAGGTACAAATTTTGCAACCATTTGAAACACGGCTTTTTCCACCAAAATAAAAGGAACCCACCATTTACAAGTTGCAAAGTTCACGTGTATTCACGGTAAGGATCCCTCTTGATCTTTTTTAGCCACACCCAAATGTTTCAGTCCGCTCACAAGATGGATGATCTCATCAAGCCTCAATCGTACATGGGGATGGTGGGGCTGGTTCAAGGAGCGGGGTCCCCCCAAAAGGGTTTGATAAATCAACATGACGCAGATGACCAGACCCCCTCAGACACCATCCAGCGCTGCCGGGTTTTGATCGATGGTCAAAAGAGGATCAGGTTCCGAGCGGGTCGTGCAAATTGCTAGGGTGGGCGCGGTGGGGGTGGGGTGTAGTTAAACCCCCAAGGGCCATTTGAGTCAAACCAAATGTTGGCTTTTGGGTGCGCACTTTCTTGTCTCAATCGAATTCCAGGTAGTCGGCGGGTAGTAAGGGACAATCCCAGCCATAAATGGGTGCGGCCGCGTTTTCACTTTTTTACTTGTAGACCATGTTAACAACAGGTTTTGATTGTGACTCACTTGATTATGACTCACTCTTATGGCAGCAACCCAAAGATCCAACTTTGGTACCCCGCGGTCAACATTTGCCAGATGGATCCCTTCGCCTCTCCCCCACGTTGCCATGCCACCTTACAAGGGGTCCCTCCAAGAGGAAACTGATCTTCAGGTACCCTCCAACAGGTGCCATACACTTTCTAACTTTTTGCAGGTCTAAGTCTGGTCAATGCTGGCAAGCGCCTGTTTTGCATGACTCATTGGGATCGGGCCATGGATAGTTGGTCGGTTGGACGGATGCGGAGCTTCGGATTTGGCAACAGGGAGCAAGCCGAGCCTCTTCAAAGCTAGCACCAACGCGTAGATCATACTGATGGACGAAATCTTGGCGGGGGTCGGGTGCGTCTGGCCAAGTCTGGTTTCGTGCGAGGGGCTAAGTACTATCATTTTGGCCCTATCGTCCTGACGGGATTTGATACGTCTCCGTACCCACCTCCCATTCTGAGAGAGGCACTGAACGTCCTTTTTTTTTGCGCGGTTCGTTTGATCCGAGGAACCCCTCCTGCTTCGCTTGTGGTACTGCCAAGCCCCCTGGCTGTGCGGTCATGTGAGCCGCGCGATGCGAGCGATGGGGCGATGCACCGGTGGGTGGAGGGAGGGCGACTTCGGTGGTCACCTCTTCTCTTTCCCCCTCTTTGCTTCTCTTCTTTTCTCTTCTCTTGTCCTTCCGCTCCCATGTACTGTTGCACGACAGCCAACCTTCACTTCAGAAAAGCCATCTGCATTTGTTTTTCTCCTTTTTTTTTCATAGGCCATCTTAACGCCTGTCGGCTATCTGCAAGAGGTGTCTCTTGCAAAGCTCGGAAGTGGCAGATTGGGCTCAACAAAACATAAACTCTAAAGTGAGGCTGGGCTGCCGGTTGCCCTCCCTCTCCAATTGAAGCCGCGGTTCGTGGCTGGGCCTCGAATCTTTGGACTTCCAGGGATCGGGTCGGTCGGGCTGTCCGACCTGCCTGAATTCGCTCAAGTCTGTGCCGTCCCGCAAACCAGGGCTGGTATTTTTTCTCAGTCCGCATATTTATCTGTGGATGGTTTGAACATCACCAGCTCTGCTTTTAGTGGGGATGCCTGCGTTATATGACCATACTGTTTTTGATTCGAGGCATGCACATGTACTTGACGATCAGTGAAAAGGAAGCCTGGCTAGACTGTGATTGGCGAGTAAACCAAGCGTTCTTTCTGTGCCGAGGGAAAATGGATAAACATGGTCGCTGTGTGCTAAATAGGGGGTCTGGAAAAAAAAAAAACAATCATTTCCATCCCCTTTTGGGTTCCTTTTCTTTAGGGAAAAGATAAAGAAATGGACATGTAGCATCCAGGTCATGCAAGGACTGCCCCTGCAATTGGGTAGAGTGGGGAATCGGCTTCTTTCAAGATGCATTCTTGTGTCTATGACCCGAGAGGCTTCGTCGGGCAGGGTGGCTCCGAGTCGTTCTGAATGAATGATCCAATCACAACAGTATATAAATGGGTTTGATTTCCAAAGTAACCCTGATGCGTCAATGACCCTTGCAGCGATCTTTCTTTGCTGACCGTCGCTCTACCCCTCTGGCGGTGCGCTGGTTGGGACGGCGACACTTAGGCGGGCCGAGCAAGTAATGTTAGCTTCGGATTCGTCCTGAGACCAAACTGATCCGAGGACTTCCGAACGAAGATGGATCAATTCAACTCCAGTACAAGGGCTTCTTTCTCCCAGGAATCCCGAACGGCTCATCACATGGATAGCTGAGTGACCTCCCTTTGGCCCTTCTCACTCAGGCTTGAGTTTTGGGGGTTCAGCTCTGCTTTATTTTTCCCGCACGAATCCGAAGTCGACCTTAAGTCGGCGACTCCCGCGCCGCCTCACGGCACGGCCTACACGGCCTACACGGCCTGGCGCAGCCCAGTCCGTGCCAAACGCTCGCTGGCTCCTTGGCCTGTCCGGCGGGCTGGCGGGCTGGCTGTGCTGGGTGCTCGGTTTGGCTGGTTTGAAACTCCTCCCAGGTTGGAGAAAGCAGCGCGAAGTGCCGCGAAGCGCAAAGCGGCGTGATCAAATCACGCCGCGGCGCCGTTTTACGAACGATGGCAGGCGTTTCCGAAGATGAGCCTCCTGATAGCAATTTTGGAGGTTGGTCCAGGGCGCAGGATTCCATGTGCCAAGTCTGAAGCATCAGAATCCCTTCAGGTGCGAAAGAATCCTGGCTGCACATGACGTGTCACCCCGAAAATGTCCTGGCTGCAGACGTCCGACTGGCTTCCATTCCTCATTTTTCAGGAGACTCCCCAAGCCAACACAGCGTTTCGCGTCTGTAGTGTAGCTCTCCACCAGCAGTTTCCTCTTGGCTTTTGGTTTGGGTTCCGGGATACATGGGGCCCCCCATCAACCTTCACGTAGGAAGGTGACATTGATCTTGCCTAAGTCAAACCGCGCCATGCGCCCAAGTGAGCATAACTTTGGCGCATTTTGCCAAGGGATGTTAGGACTTTAACTTTTTGCCAACTAGTGGGTGTTCCGTATTAAACCACTAAAAGTTAGTCACTTTTAGCAAGGGCAGCAGAAAGCAACCGAGATAACGAATGGCTCCTCTGGCCCGATGCTTCCACGCGTCCAGATGGATTTTCCGTGTAGATGTGGGCCGACCATGGTCGGAAACGCTCCCAGATCCTTAGACAGCCTCTCCACGAGATGTGCCGAGGCCGCGTCTCGCAAAGACCGGGGCTCCGAGTCGATGTCTTTTGTCTGACTTGCTCTGAGTCGCCCGGCGGCAGGGCTTGGGGCATCCGCTCAAAGCCCTGCTGACAGATCCGCTCGATCCCGATCGCTCCGTGCAAAAAGGCAGGCTTTCTGATCTTTCGTTGAGCCCTGGGTCGGTCTCCAGTGTTACCCCCAAAAAACCCCGAGACTTCCTGAGACCTTTTGGAAACCAATGGCTTTTCCATTAAGCCCACAGAGGGAGCAGCCCAAACCCGGTTCGGGGTTTAATGGGCTTACCGCTTGTCCATGATGAGCGTACATCTGGGGATTCCCAATTTCTATTGCTAGATGGGGTCCATTCCCAAAAATATCCTCTCCACAAAATGTGTTTAACCTGAGTTCCAGGTGAATTTCAGGTAACCTGTAGTTGGTGGCTTGGATTGGTGGTTTTGGGGGGTTTGAACCGCATTTTGAGATGCATCGTTTTGGGGATCCTCTTGTGAATCGGGCGAGTTTTGGATGCATCGTTTGGGGATTCCTGCAATTAGCATATGGCCATAACTAGCCGGATTTTTTGCCCTGCCGACAGCCCTTTGGTTCTCCACATGGAACCCGAACCGGGTTCCGTTCTCCTTTTGTTCACTAGGTTCCTCTCAAGAATCTGAGCCCCCGGTTCCTGGCTCCAATGCTTTTCCCCAAAAAACGGGGGAAGCGAACACCTGTGACTTCCTCTACCCCGGCGCTGGTGGGCATTGACTTGCCGCCCCCGCCTTGCTGGCGAAAAAGAAAAGCACCGCGCTGGGTGTGGGTCAAGATTCAACCACAAGGGGACCGCAGGTTTTAGTCCACCCATTTGGGTAGGAACCCCGTGGGACTGGCGAAAGGAACCCGCTGGCGAAAGCCAGCGGATAGACCGACAGACCGACCGGATCCATCGCTCGAGAGCCTGGCTCAGACCCCGACCAAAGGGGCGGCCTCTGGTTCAGGCAGGTCGCCGGCGGGGGGGGCGTCTCGCTGCGGACCGGTGGCCCACTTTTTGGGAGGATTTGCTGGTTTGGACATGTCTTTTTGCGTCCCTCTTTGTTTGAAAGGAGATGTATTACTTCTGGACATTTTTTTTGTTTTTAAAATATATAATTATTCATATATCTTTCAGGGGGGCGAAAAAGCAAATGAAAGATTGGCAAACAAAAGTTTAGACTGTTTTGGACCCATCCACTCAGGAAGTGAGTTTCCTTACTTGTTTTTCATTTCTGGTCCATCGAGTGTGACCGAATCACCAAAGAAAGACAGACCTGTTGGAAACCAATGGCTCTTCCATTAAACCTTATTACAGAAGGTGATCGACCTTTTGTTTAGGGGATTTCCCGATTTTGGTTTTAAGTTGTTGTTTTTTGTCCTGTTTGGACATGGTTGGTGTTATAGTTCCTCCTTTGTCGGTTTTGAACATCACCTTTTGCGCCACACAAAACCATGGCAAGTTATAGAAAGGGTTGGTCATGTTTTGGGGGTCCCCCAAAAATGGTGGTGCTTAAAGGCTGTGTTCAGTTCAATTGGATGTGTTCGGTTCAATTGGACGTGACCACGGTGAGCTGATTTTTGAAGGTAGGCCCCATGTTTTTTTTGTGTGTGAAATCAAGGGGCAACCACCCATAGGGGCCACTTCCTCTCTTGGAGAACTCAATCCGAAACCTTGCCATTATACGGTTGCGCTTGGTTCAGACACGTGGCCTTTTGGGGAGGTTGATGCCAAGGCGGCAGCTACTGTATGGCGGTTGGTGCCAGTTGAGTTATCCTTTCAACGCCAGATGCGATTTTTGAGATACTGCAAGGGCTGACATCATTGGAATGATATTGTGGTTTACCAGAATCAAGTTTAGGGACCCATTGGTAGACATCATTTAGGTCAGGATGTGTGGTCCATCAACAACTTTTGAGTTGTATTCAAAGAGGCTCCCTTTTCTACCCTGCAAACTTGTTGTTCAACGCTTCCGTTTTCTTAGCTTCCTCAAATCCTATTAAGATCCATAGCCATGTTAGACCCTTCTTCCTCAGCCCTCCAAAGAAGGGACCCCCAACTAAAAGAACCCCTTAAGGCCCCTAGGCCTTATTACTCGCCAGAAAGCCTCTATTGGCATTGGCGAATCGGGCCCTGGGAACGGTTGCCCTTGTCAACCATAAGCAAGCAATGGTTTCAACCACGGTTTCTAAGCGGTGCGAAATGGATTTTCCAACCAGCCACAGTACTGCGATCCATAGCGATGTTAGACCCTTTTGGTTTAAACATCTCCTCACTTGTCTCTCCTTTTGGGGCAAATATGTGTAAATTTCAAGGGAGCTCACTGCTGGAACCATCGCCGTGTCAGACCCATGTTTTTCCTCCGCGTCTTGGGAAGACATGGATCCGAGGTAGCCATGTGGACGCCCGCTTCCCGCACGCCGCGGGGCGGCGGGGGCGAGAAGCGGCTGTGCCTGGCCTTGGCAGGACTTTCGGGTGGCCAGCTATGGCCATCGAAGGGGAACTCACTTGAGTGGATGGCCCAAAAGAGTCCGAACTTCCTGATTGTGTTTACCAACTCACATAGTCCAAACCCAATCAGTTTTAGAGGCCATGAACCCAGGAAGTGAGAAACTCATGTTGGCCCGGATTAAGAAGAACCCACGGTTGATTGTGGATGGTTGCGAAATCCTCTTAGGCACCGTTCAGAAACCCAACGGAATGATTCGAGTCCCCAACGTAAATGCCAACAAACAATGGCTTCCCATGGTCCACAGTCTGATGGGCCGGAAACCACTGGAGTTCCTTGAGATGCTAGTCTCTCCATGTTTCGCGTCTGCCAGGATGCCGTGCGAAAGAAAACACCAGGCCCAGCAAAGAGCAGGGAGTTCCCGGCGTTGAGTCGGGATTCCTTCACCCTTCGACGAAAACTCGGATTTTAGACTCAGCGTAGAACAGCTCCCTTCGTATGCCACCTGGAAAAGCCACGTAAAGAATCCAGAGGACGTAGAAGTTATGGTTACCTGCTATAGTACCTGAAGCCTCTGGCCTTGTAGAAGCACATGTAAAGTATGAGTTTTATTTGGGACCCTTTAGTGGACATCAAAGTTAGGTGGGGATGAAAAAAAAGCGATCCCGTACTCGTATTTTTTTCTGTGGGGGTGGGCACTTAGTCAAACCTTAGCAATATGTTCCCAACCTCACTTCCTGGGCTCCTGGACTTCAGTCGCTTAAAATGGCTTCGACCATTTTGGTAAAATAAGCTCCAGGACGTTTTTTCTTCCGCTCCACTCAGGAGGCGAGTAACTTGGTTTCGTAAACCCGACAAAGCTCCAGGCCGTTTTTTTTTTTTGCTTCCGCTCCACTCCACGGAGGTGAGCCACCTACCTAGCGCGCGCAAAGCCGCAGAGCCAAAAGGCGCGTGGTGCGACAGGAGCGGTGGCTTTGGTCTTGGCGCTCGGCTCCGAGTCCCTGGAGACGTCCTTCGTGTCGGTCCGAAGCTCGGGGGTCTGAGCTGAGTCTGAGACGGGAGCTCCTTCCACGTCCCAAGGGGGGAAATGGCTGTGGTGGTCAAAGCCAATAAATTCCATTTTTGGGGGGTAGGTGAATTCACCATCCATTTTGGAACTTATTTTAGTGAGGATTGGGATGTTCACTGGGGGCACGGGGTTTTGACCCATGGCCAAATGGGGGTTTCAATGGGTGTTTTCGGAGTGAAACGCTGACCTAGAGTTCCTTCTCGTTGTTCCAATTGGTGAAATGTTTTTTTTTGTGTGTGTGTTTTCCTTGTTGGCGCTGGAAACACGGTAGGTTTTGTTTGGCCACGGGGCTAAGCAAATTCTGGGAAGGACATTTTAGTGGGAAGCCATCCGGCTGTTGGGGGTATCACCCGAGCTTTTTTCTTGCAGCGCCCTGTTTCAGGACGGGGTTTTGCAGGGAAACCCGATTTCGGGGCACCGACATCCCATGTTAGGAGTCTTTGTCCAGCACCCATATGCCCACCTCATCCCTCTTTCCTACTTGGCTGAGCACACCACTGCGCAAAGAGTTTGGATGGGTGTTCAGTTCTTTCTTTGGTTCAAGAACGGTCTTGTAGCTGGTCAGGCACTGTTCGCAACACATCTGAGCGATTAAAAGATGCCGTTTGACCGGCAAGCTTTAGCAAAACCCATAGTCAGTGGATGTTCCACTTTTTTCTCTTTTTTTTTTTTCCTTTTTTTTTTTCCGGGGAGGGGTCCCCCAAAAATGAATGACACACCCATATGATGAGTGTCTAGGGAGATGGTAGAAAAAGGAGCCCTAGAGTGTTGTTTGGTTCTACACTTTTTTTAGTAGTCAAGCCAAGACGGGCTCCTTTCTTATACCACCCATCATCACCCCAGACACCCATCTAAGATGGGTTTGTCGTTCATTTTTTAGGGGGACGCCCCCCCCCCCCCCGAGAAACAAAAGAAAAGACCACAAATCAAGCATTAACAAAAACAAAAACACACAACAAAAAAGAAAAACGAAGGTTTCCCTTTGGGTCTTCACTTTTTTTCAGCCATCGAGAAGGGGTACTGACTCAAATAAGACGAGCCAGACCCATATGCTGATCATGTTAAGGGTTTGTTGCTACCATGCCAAGGGGTTGGAAAGCAAGGTAAAGAAGCCCATCTTTCCTGTCCAATCTGTCAGCCTGGTCCAAGAGGACAGCTACTGTGGATGGTTGCGAAATCCTCTTAGGCGCCGTTCAGAAACCGTGGAATGGTTCGAGTCCCGAGTGAGCAACGAACAATGGCGGCCCATGGCTTCGAAGTGGTGCGAAATGGATCTTGTTCATCCACATGGCTTCCTTTCAACGGGAATCCCCAAAACCGGCTCATCCCCAAAACCGTCTGGGTCGTTCGCGCCCCATGGCACCAGGAAAACCACAGGTTTGGCATGGGATAGGAATTCCGAGGCGCCTGGCCTCTGGCCGCTGGTCGCGCAGAGAACCGCAGACTCCGCCACGGCACTGGCGGCCCGGGGCCCGGGTTTTCCGCTCCACTCAGAATGGACACACACACACACACACACATCTTTGGTGCATTTTTCTTGGATGTTTGGACTTGAACTTTTGCCGACTATATAATGGATTTTCCATCAAACCACTAAAAGGTAAACTTTTAGCAGGGGAGCAGAAAGCAACCGAGACATGTTGTGGCATCCTTGTTTTTCTTCACAGCGTTGCCAGACTGATTTTGCCCGGGCTTTCGATTTGTTCCTTGTTTTCCGGTTTTTCAGTCATTGCCCATTTCGACCAGCTCTGGCTTCGTGCAGGGATCAAAGTTTGGCCCAAAGAGAATTCGAACACCAAACAAATCAGCGTTTCGAGACCGGTCTCCTCAGGCGGTTCAGCTTCCAGGCGAAAGGTTAATTGAAACTGGAGCGGCCCGAGCTGAAGCTTCGGACCTCTGCTCTTGAGCTTTCCTTTTGGTTTCCCTTTAAGATCAAGTGAGTCACGTGCTCAAGACCTGGGTAGATGAAGGTGAGTAAGGGACGATCCAATCCCAGCCATAAATAGCTGCGGATACTCGCCTTCTTAGTTCTTTACATGGTTCTGGGTCGACCATTTTTGTACCGGGTTTTGATTGTGACTCAAGTGGTGAAACATGGGGCGACCCCACAAGTGGGTCGCCCGACCGGTACACGGAAGTCAGCGACGAAGAATCTGCGGTCTGGTGGTGAAACAAAAACATTGCCCCATACCCAAGGCCCCTCGCTGCACTGGGTTTCCTTGAAACTGCTTGGGTCAAACAAATCCGGCTTGCGCCAAAACAAATCCTCCCGCTCGGCTTGATGGCAACGTTGCGAGTCCTCCTACACGAAGTGGGTGGAGCCGACCATCCCAGAGGACAGGGAGTTAAGAGTCAGGTTTGCGCTGAAACTGTCCAAAGCACAAAGACCACAATCAAAACCCGAGTGGATGAAGGTACGAAATAGTCCCAACCATAAATGGGTGCCTTCGCCGTTTTTTAATTCTACATGGTGTTGGGTAGACCATTTGAACACGTGCCTGTTTCCTTTTGTCCAAGGAGGGTTCCCTTTTTGGGTTGATTTTGAGACGGCAACCCCAGCCAACCATTTCGGCGGATTCAGATGCCTATTTTGAGCAAGCCCAATGCAAACGCATTTTGCAGGTTTGTGGAGTCTATCAGCGGATTCAGCTTCCTGTGTGTTTCCGTTCTGGTCCTGCCCCCACAATCCCCCCGACAAAAGAACATAAGCAGACACCCGGTGGCGCCCTCTTTCTTAGGGGTCACTCACGTGCCCAAAGCGAATCAACGGGATCAGACCTTTGAGATTCCCCCTTTTTGGTACATGTTTTGCAGGGCTCCTTAAAAGATACCTGTTGCAACCATTTGAAACACGGCTTTTTTCCACCAATATAAAGGGACACCACCATTGACAAGTTGCAATGTTCAGGTGTATTCACTGTAAAGATCCCTGTTTCGTGGCCCCCAAAGGTGATCGCCTTCTCGTTTTCCGGGTTTATCAGTGGCAACTCAAAGAAGGTCCTCTGGATGGGATCGTTGCGCGCGGAAGGCCCTGCGTTTTGAGGCTTGAAAATGGTAAGGCCTCCTTCAAGGGACAACAGGGCCCCCCCAAAAAAAACAACACACCAAAACAACAATCCACCGATGGACCGATCCACCAACCAAGCAGAAGGGTTGTGCGTTGGAAGTAATTGGATGGCACGTGCGCGAAGGAGCTAGTGAAGGAGGCTGCGGAGGAGGGGTTCCGGCGGGGGCCCAGGCTTGGACTTTCCTTTTCGGTCCAGTTGCAAGGTCGAAAAGTGGCCCCTGATGGAGGAAATGCTACGAAATCCAGGCACCGAAGCGTTTTGAGATATACGAAAAGCGCCCTTTGGCGGAGCCAACGCAAATGAGACACGGTGGAGTTGAGAGGCAGGCAACCATGTTCCCCCCGTTTTGATTGGATCTGAGCAGCTTTAGTTCAGGCCAAGAGCCGCGTGATGTTTCCCAACTCGGGGTGGGGGGTGGTACAGCTTTTAATGTTGTTTTGGGGAAAGCGAGTTCTGTCGCAGGTTTGATGAGTTCGCCACATTCTTTGATGCTCGCGTTGGAGCTGGGAGCAGAACTCGTTCGCCTCTTTGCATGGGGCCACTTGCTTAAACCTTGTTGACTACAAGTGGGCCAAATCATAGATACTGTGGATGGACGAAACCCTGCACCACCCAAGAAACCCTCAAATTGTGATTTCCATGTAAATACCAACAATTCCGTGGGTTTCCCACGGTTTCGTAGGTGGTGCAGGATTTCGTCCATCCAAAGTATGATTTCTCTCTTTGTTCATTCCATTTCCGAATTTCTATTTCTTCAGATTGAAGGCAATACCCAATAATAGCCGCACATCCTTGTGATTGTCTTTCTCGAGAACGACACCCACCATGCTCCGTTCTTCTCACCCCTTGAGTTCATGGACTTTCAACTTGGGTTTGGACCAATCAACAGTAGCTACTTTGGTTTCCCACCTCCGCCGCGGTTCCCGGCGGTTCCCGGCGGTTCCCGGCGGTTCCCGGCGGTTCCCGGCGGTTCCCGGCGGTTCCCGGCGGTTCCCGGCGGTTCCCGGCGGTTCCCGGCGGACCGGCGGAAGTGAGTCGTGCGCCGTTGCCTTTTGTCCGAGGCTTAGACCAACCTACAGCCACATGAAGATTGGCTACGTGATCTCCGACAAGGTCCAGCGTCTTGCGCTTTAGCCCCCGCTCCGCCTGGGTGGGGGGCTCCGAACAAAAGAGATGGGTGTGGCTCAGGCATCAAGACCCCGGGAAACCGCAGGTAAAGTAGGCCCCTATTTTTGACCCACAGCCACATTTTGCGTTTCCATTTGAGGAAATACAGGAAAACTACCATTTACAAGTTGCAAGGTTCAGGTGTAGGATCCCTGTGGGTGGGGGAATGGGTCTTCTTGCTTGGGGCTTCCAACAAACACGGAACGTGGGAGGGAGTTGCCTCGGTGCTTCACTCTTTCGGGTGACCTGGAGGTCACTTGTCGGGCCATTTGAAGCCTGGGTTTAGTGTTGGTGTTGTAATTTAAGCAGGGCCCGTGGCTGTTTGGCTCCCAAGGTTGTGCAAATGAGAATGGAATTGGCGCTTTGCCACAAACCAAGGATCAAGCTTTCCAAGCACCTGCCAGGTGCTTGAAAGCCTTTCCCCTGAAAGAACGCAGAACATATCTGGGGGGGCAGCTGTTGGCTTACCATCCCAGCAAATCGGGCTCAGGTCAGAGCTGTTTTCTGACCTTCGTCGTGTATCTGGTTGCTTTTTGCGCTTGTAGCCCCCCCCCCCCCCCCCAAATTCCCCCGCCCCCCCCGCAGAACCCCCCCCCCCCAAGATCCCCCCGATTGGGGTTGAACAACGAACGAAAATTGTCTCCCTTCTTTTTCCGGCATTTGCCAGAATGAGAAGACCCGCATCGCGCTGATCGAGTACTTCCTGTTCAATGCCAAGTACGGCGGGTGGTACAAGGCGCGGCTCTTCGTACCGCTCTTGCTATGTTGAATCCGTTTGTTTCAACATCGGCACACCCCCCTCGAAATGCCAAAATGGTTGGTTCCCTTCGTGGTTTGCGGCCAAAATCAATCAACCGGGGGGCTACTACTGGCGTGATTGATGGGGGTCATCAAGTCAGAAACTGGGGGGGTGCTCGCCTTTGACCTCTCACTGAGGGGGGTGACCATAGGTGTGGTTCAATCATCTACCAGGGCCATCTATTTTCCAAAAAGGACACCTATGGGGGTGACTCTGATACTTGTAACATACTGCGGCCAGCGCTGTGCATGGATAAGCTCCCCATTTTGCGCCAGCCGGGCTAAGCGGCGGAACCCCTAAATGCTCGCTGGGCTGTGCCACCTACTTGGTACCGATGGGCGCGGATTTTCTCCATAGTGTGGATGGACAGAATCCATTTCGCACCATTCGCACCACTTTGAAACCATGGTTGAAACTATAACGTTTGTTGGTATTTACAGGTGAATCATCAGAAACCGGGGTTTCTGACATCCACAGTATCTTAGCCTCCCCACACAAGAAGTCGACGCCGTGTTTTCGAGGGCGCCATGTTTAAGTGGTTCATAGGTTCATCAACCAAACTACCCACGTTTGGGGGGGGGTCCTTTCATTTTGAGATACAAATCGTCCATCGGAGAAGGGATCTACAGGATCAAACATTCACCAGAATGTCCTTCTTGATTTGTGGTTTTAAGAGGAAAGAAACAAAAAGGACACTCGAAATCCAGTCTGGGGACAAACAAAGACACACCAAAGAGACACAAATGCGCGCGGATTTCCTTGCGTGGAAGGGACAGTTGGAATCCTCTGGAGGTTCGCAAGTGAAAACGTGGGCCTAGAGGCAATTCGCAAGATCTTTTCCTTCCATTTGTTTAAGTTTTTTTGACAAAAAACTGTTTGGTTTTCAGGGAATCTATCACTACTAAGCGTATTTTCCAGGGAACTTAAGCAAATGGAAGTTACCTTGGGATGCGAAAGAGTTTGGTGCCCTTTGGAGTGGTTTTCCACTAGGGGTCATCGAAAATCGGATCGGCCAGCCCTCATTTTTCAACCGCAAAGGCGACCACGCAAGTCCCGGTTCATACAGATTTCCCTTCATTGAAAACCGGCATCTGAAACCTGGCCGCCTGGCCATATTTCTTTTCCGTGAGCCGCACTCGCCAAATCGAGAAAAAAAGGAGAAAAAACACCATGCCTGGCCATGGGCCAACGGCGAGTCTTGCGCCTGAACTCCCGGAACCTGGCCGCGGCCGTTTTTTTTTCCTCTCGCGCCAGCGCACCAAGAAGAAGCACTTTCATGACGAGTACGAGCTGTCGAAGCTCGGGGATGTGGTGCTGATCGCGCCCTACAGGCTGGGGTGAGAACCAAAGGGGGAGGGAAGATGTTCATCTGGGGGGAGGAGGGGGGAGGGGTGGCAAGGTTTAAGGCCACACTGGAGATCCCCCTGATGAGTTTGTGCTTTAATTGGGGGGGGGGGGAGGGTTTACCACCCTGAAAGCTTGAATATTGTCAGTGCCTGGTTGCTCCGAGCCTCTAACAGAGCATCTTGAAGCAACTCCACAGAACTCCTATCCTCAGGGATTGGAACATGCCAGGGAGCTCCGAATCTGAAAACGACCTGCAAACCAGAAGCGTCATGATTTATTGAAGGGTGGGTTCCTGCTTGCTATTGCAGTTGGTAGGTGGTGCGAAAGGAGACTCAAAAACGACAGCCTGGCAGATTCCCTTTCAATCTGTTGGCTCCTGGCACGGTGGGAAGAGGAGCTCTGTGACACCAAGATGAACCTTCCCGTTCAAAAAATCAGAGCCTTTGAAAACGAGAGAACCATCATGCTGAACTCATATCCAACAGCCGTTGTTTTTGCTATTTTCCCAAAAGCGACCCCAAAAAAATTGGGCCGGGGGTGGGGGGTCATTTCTAGGGGGCGTTGTTTTTGTTATTTTCCCAAAAGCGACCCAAAACATATTGGGCCGGGGGTGGGGGGTCATTTCTATCGTGTTTTTTTTCCCCCCCCAAAAGCGAACCCCAACAATATTGGGGTGTGGTGGGATGTGTGGGGACTCTGTTTTGTGTCCCTTTTACTAGCTGGTGGTTGGAAGGGAGTCAAGGAGCTGAGAGCTGCGAGTCTCCAAGTTTTCAAGAGGGAGCCTTTCGGGGCTACAAGGAGTTCTGGTTGAGGACATGGTAGTTCAGAAGGCGGCACAAGGCGACGCCAGATTCTTGGACAGCCCCCCAGATGTTTGCTTGAGCTGCAGCACGAACCCCTACCTACCTAACTCCGGCTCAGGCGTTTTTTGGTTTTCTTTTCGGCCGATGGCTCTTTTCTGAGATTTGCGCATGTTTGCTTTGACCTTTCAGTTGTTTGGGTCCACTTCCGGACCTGTTCTTTGGTCCTTTCAAGTCCACTCCCGCGGCAGGAAGAGGAGCAACATGAAGTGGTTCCGCTTGATCGAGGTGCTGCGGAAGAATCAGGCGGGACTCCGGGACCGAACAGCGGCGGGATAGTCGGAGTCTCTTGACATGGATGGAGGAACCCAAAAAAGGGGCACCCAAAAAGCAAAGATGGGGATTACTGCCCTCATTGGGGAGGAGCCCAAAAAGGGTCTTGACCAACAAGTTTGACTTTGATGTCAGCTCTGCGGATGGAAAGTCGGATCGCCGGGTCCCAAAAGCATCCTGTTTGGATCAATTCAACACGGGCTCTGGCTTCCTCAGGAATGCCCTCGTTTCAGCAAAAGTCAGGTTCCATTTTGGCAAACTCCCCTTGCAGTTTTGAAGACACTAATGGGAAACCAGGTATGATTGAATTAATCCAGCAAGGGAACATACTTTTGTTTTTCAAATAAACAGCATTAAGTGACGACGAACTCAAGCTTAGGTTCATGTTCATTTTCCAGCGACCATCTGGTATGCTTCACGGTGGTTGTTGGCCGGCCCCTTTTGGTTCTGTTCCTTTTTGGTGAGGGGTTTGAAAACACCAAGTCTTTTACTACCAAGCGTTGGAAGCATAAAACAAGCAGCAAGTTCTGCCCGAAACTAGCCAACTGTCCCTCAAGTCCGGAATTGGCCAAAAAAGCGCCCACGCTAGGTGCTTTTAGGCCACAATTACAACTCGGGCAAGTGATGGTTGAGGTTCCAACCAGAAATTTGATAGGTGCGAACATCCTCCCTCTTGATTAGTTATCATTCTGGCAGGCCTCCCTATACCCCCGTCATGCTTCAAACACGCATTTGCTGCTGATGGCAACTCGCAACAAACGCGACCGCCGTTTTTGTCAAGCACTTTTTAGTGAACCTAGTACTATGGATGGACGAAATCCTGCACCACTAAAGCCCTGGAATGATGATGCACCTGTAAATACCAACAAACATTATGGTTTCAACCATGGTTTCAAAGCGGTGCGAAATGGATTTTGTCCATCCACGGTAGGGTGCAGGCATAGGTGCCCTTTTTGGTTGGTTTGGCTAGAAAATAGAAGGCCCTGGTTTACCTAGTGGTTCAATCATCTACCAGGGAAACCCATCTATTTTCCAAAAAGGACCCCTATGGGTGCGATTTCTGGATTTTATCCACCGGTAGGAACGCCGGTTCTCGGCTTCTCATGATTGTCGTTGAGAAACATTTTACATTTTGCTTATTGTGGTTTAGTGGTTGAAATCCCCACTGAACTTCTAAAAACTTTTTTTTGCTCCCCTTCCAACGTCAAACAAGTGATTCTGATCAGGTGAATTTCGGGGACGTTTGTTGCCCGTGGCTTGCGGGGTCGAGTTGCGTAGCTGCGTAGCAGGCACCCGAGCACGTGTGAGGCGGGGGGTGGGAGACGGCCAAGGGCGGGGAGATATGACACGGGAAACCCGTTATGTTTCTCCCTTTTTTTCTCTTTCTGTGTTTTCTTCTTTTTTCTTTTTTCTTTCAATATAACTATATATATATATATATCTATATATGTATAATTATTTCCGCCCCCCCAACAAATGTTTCGACCAGACGCTGTTGAGCATCACTCCCCTGATGCAAAGAAATCCGATAGCCACAGAGGGCTCGCTAGCCAGCCTCAGGTAGCACCAATCTCAGATTCATCAACCTGGTTTTCCTTCCCTCTTGGATGGTTGGGGATGTACTGAGCCTGCATATTAATGCTAGCTTCCTTCCAAATGGTCGTTTGGTTTGGGGTTTGGAGGTTGGGGGTGGAATCTCATTTACCCTCTAGAAGAGATGGGTTCAAATCCCCAAACAACAAATCCAAACCACTAGTTAGCGGGAAACCGAGAATGCTGTACATGGGCTGCATGTGTGGGCTATTGTTTGGGGGGCCATTTTCGATCATACAGGAAACCTCCCAGAATGATCCCCTTGCGGCGTAGGTGGTTAATAAATCAGGTTAGAAACTGATCAAGCAACAGAAGCACTGTTGGAGGTTCCAAATAAGGGAAGCAAATACTCCTTGAATCCAGAAGAGTGGTCCCTTTTTTGGGGGGCTTTTGGGAAACTGGTACCCCTCCTTGGAATGTAGGCTCCTGTTCGGTCGCAACCATAGCTCCGGGATTCGGCCCTTGGATGTGGGAATCCCGGCTATGGATCGCCGGCTACCAAGAATTCGCAGTTGGGACTTTCAGGCAGTTGCCTTTGCTTCCATTTGGCTAAGAATATGCTTTTATTTTCCCCTGCGGGTTTTGAAGGGGATCTATCATCTATCACTACTGGAACTATTTTCTCATATTTTTTCCGGGGGACTTAAGCAATGGAGGTTTTTGTGAGTGTTCTTCTTTGTAATGGCCAGGGCGATGCTTTGAGGCGAAAGGTAGGGAACCCGGGCTTGACGCGCCTAGCAGATGTCTGTTATAATTTTGGAGGGCAACGCAGGCACACTTTAGCCAGTTGATCGAGCACGGCATTTTTTGGACGAGTTAAAAGCAGGTGGCGGCAGGAGATCAAAACAGTCAAGCACAAAGCACCGAGTTTGCCCGCTGCGCTTATCAAGAGACACATGAGTAGCCGACAATGTACTATTGGTTTGGGGAGGGAAAAACCAAACAAATCCCCCTCAAAAAAACAGGGCTGCGGCCTAATTTTCACATTGCTTTTGGAAAGCAAGTCATTCCTGGTATGACTTAGCACATGTGTCAGTCGCGGCGTGTGGTTTCACTGCATGAGGTGGGTGGCTTGTCGGGTACACATCATTGTAGGGGTTGATTCCCCATTCGTTTCAGCCATCGTTCTTTCCAAAACCAGCCATTTCCCCAGGGTTTTTGGCGGTTTTCCGGAAACAGTATCCCTAAAAAGAATGGTCGGAAGTGTCCCTGGAAGTTTGTCTCCTTTGATTTCGCTTTAAAGCAACCCCACCCAAGCTCCCAAGTCCAAAAGCCATGAAACAACGCGTAGTCCCCCGCGCCATGCGTCGTTTTTCTTTTTTTCCGCGGCCCCGGCCAGGCTGCGGCCCGGATTTTTCCGCGCCTCCCGGGAGAAAAGTGGGTTGAAATTCGCGCGGCTGGCGGATGGGCCTGAAGGGCGTTTGCGGGTGTGGAGACAGATTGTGGTTTGGTGCTTGAAATCCAACCACTTCACTGCCAAAGTTTGAAGAAACATGCTCCCCTTCCAACGTGAAGCAAACAATCACGACAGGGAAACCCACACCACACCAGTCGCAAAAGCCAGATGTGAGCAGTTGCTCCTTTGGACAGCTCGATCCAAGTCATTTCTAGGACGCTCTTCAGCTTCACGCAGCGAGCGCGCCGCCATGACGCGAGCTTGGTGCGTGGGAAATGCGATTTTGCCATGAGCCCTTGAGGCGGACAGGCGACAGCAATTCAGCAGACACAAGGTCCCGCTCTGGTGGTCTGGGAAATTCACCGTTGTCGAGTGGCGGAAACTTGCTTCCTCTCCCTTATTGGCACTCCGAAAGGAATCTATCGCTTTCGGCTGGACGCGGTCGCGAGCTAACGGTGGATGCTGGGATTCAAGTAAACCAAGCACACCCTCTCAGAAAACCACAGGGAAATCTCGGCAAAGAAATGGGAGTTCGCTTGTTCTGGCATCCTTTTCCCGTATTTTGGGGAAAGAGGGGAAGGGGGATGAGAATCCTATGACAGTAGTAGCAAGGTAAGCAAATCAAGGTTCGGGCAATCAGCGTACCACAAGCAGCACGGCTTTGTCAAGTCCAACGTCCTTTCTTGCAAAGCTGCCAGGTCAGTTTGCGATGAGGTCACTGCAAACAACTGATAGCCACCAGCCAGCAACAAAACAGCAACCAGAAGCCAGCAACACACAACGACCAGCAGCCAACAACGAACATTGAGCCTCTCTTTGATTTGCAACTGGGGCCATGACACGTCAAGCGTGGCTCCTCTCAACGAGTATTTTTGTTGTTCTTGTTTGTTTGTTTGTTTGTTTGTTTGTTTGTTTGTTTGTTTGTTTGTTTGTTTGTCGGGCGGGAGAGAAATAATGAAAGGCCGGCGCCCAAGACGTCGCTCTCCCGCGGCGCACCTGCGCGAGCGAGGAGTCACCTCGGCGATGCGGCGCGACGACGATAGCAACAAGCGGCATGCGCAAGGCTGGACCTGCGGGCCCTTGACACGCTCCTTTCCGACCTCGACGCCACGTCTCGGGCCCTGCTGCTTTCCAGCCCAGTTCCAGCGCGCCCGGCGTTGTGGCCTGAGGTTGCTGGAGCGAGGAGCCTTCTTCCAGCACCTGGCGCGCAGTTGAGCCCTTGCTAGCCCCGTGGTGCAGTGCTTTGCGCTCTCTCGCGGCCGCAACGCGCCGGCTCGCAGTTGCGGCGGAAGGCACGGCGGGCCTCCGCCACGCAGGCAACACGGACGCCCACGCTGGCGGCGAGCCCGTCTTCAAAAGCTGTGCGCAGCGGTGCGACGAAGCCGCCTGCGATCTGCTTGTGCCTGGGCCGCCCGCCGACACGCAGTCTTCACCCGGCGCAGGCGGCTCGGACAGCGGCGCCTGCCTATTTTTTTTGGCCTAGCGCATTCCTGAGCCTTGATGGAGGATTGTTCTAAACGCATTCTTGAGGCCTGTTCCCACCCGTTATTTCGTTCACTCGCAACAATCACCACCAGCGCTATCTGCGACTAATACATTTGCGACTATGGAGTAAAATGCTGCTACTACTACCACTATTTCTGCAGTTACCACCGCTACTCCCGGTAGCACTTTTACTGGTCCTACTACTAGAACTGCTACTATTACTGCTACTACTACCACCACTACCACCACCACTACTACCAACTACTACTACTACTATTACTACTACTCTTGCTATTACTCGTTTTTACTATTACTAGCGCCACTACAACTACCTTTTCTTAATTGCCGCTACTACCACCAGTATCGCTACTATCACTGCCGCAGCTGCTGCTGTTCATTTTGCCGCCACCACTCCTGCAACTGCCGCCGCTACCTTCACCGCCCAAGCGCGATTTGGATAAGCGTCCAGAAAAGCCCCTTACAAACCTCCTTCCTTTAAAGTTTTTTTTTTTTTTTTTTAAATAAACGTCCGTATAAGACATGCTATAAAGCTTTATATACAGGTCTATATAAGGCGCCCTGTCAAGCCCCACGCTGGCCCGACCTCTCTCAAAGCTCTAGGACGGCCCGAGCGAAAGATTCGGAGAGTTTCAAAAAGCGTTTCGGTTAAACGCCAGCTCCCGGGAGGGACGCCCTCGCTGCGCGTAAAGGGGGGGACTTGCGTGAACTCTTTTGCGGGGAATTTGTGAAATTTCTCGCTGGCCGGGGCCCGAGCGCTCGATTGAAAATCTGGCGGCTCGAGCGCCAGCAGGCCGAGCGTGAAAAAACTGCGGACGTGCTGTTGTCCTTTGCCGAAGGTCGACTGGGTGCGCCGTCAGCCGGCCTTCGGCATAGAGCTAGAAGCCTTGCGCAGCCAGCTTGGCGTTGACTGGTATGCCCTGCAGCTTCATGAGCCCGTGCCTGTGCCGTCCATGCCCTCAACAACGGTGGCCTCTGCTGCGCCGCTTCCAGCGTCCGAGCGTGATCTCACGCCTTGGCCGGAGCAACAACCTGCTACTCCTGATGGCTCGCCCCCCGTTGCTGGTCCCGTGCTGGCCGAGGCTTTGATATTGCCCGAGTGCCCGAGCTTGACAGCCCACCGCTGCAGCGCTCGCCCGTTTGATTTGTTTCGCGTCCTTCCACAACGGAGCTGGTTTTCTAAAGTCCTCCTAGGTTCCTGCGTGGCTCGTTCCGAGCGGTTCTGTCACTTGCCCAGCAACCCATGCCTCAAGATGACGGATTCTGTGGTTGCTGCTGTTTGCTTCTCCACTGGCGCTCTGGCACCAACAGGCTCACCAAAGCTGCGTTCCCGGCTTTTGGATTTCCAAGCCGCCCCGGGCCACCCATGTTGAGGACGAGCGCGAGGCTGAAAAAAAACAGCGGAAGAAGTGGAGATGGACGATGATGAAACCATCCTCGGCATTCCGTTCTCCAAGCGAGCCCGGGTGGAACCAGCAGTCGGGCGCATGAGTGACACCCTGCCGGATACACAGCAAGATACTCAAGAAGTTGAGTCCGAGGTTGAGGCTGATGACCATGCCTCCCAGGAGTCCAGGTACCAAGTGGAAGGTTGAGGGGACATAGACAGCTGCATGCAGGAGCACGAAGACATCGCCGGGCGAAAGGATGCAAGGCAAGTTCTACGCAGGACCATCTTGGAGAAGCCGGCAGCTTCTCCGCGTCCTCGGGGGCGCCCGGGATGCCCGCAGAAAACCTTAAAACTTGCGAGAGGAAACCGCCGACTACCACCACAGCATGGTCTTTCCGAAAAACAATCATCAAGCAGCATCCATTCTGTGCCAACAATACAAGCTCAAGCTCCAATCCGCAACGTCAACAGCGTGCTTTAGGCCGGCGAAGAGGAAATGAGTCAAAAGGCCTTGGTATTGACGCAGCTGCGCTTGCAAGACAAGGGCAATGACTATGGCCACGCAGTCATACTTACTACCAAGTTAAAATTTCCAGTGCAGGTTGTGCGGGGTGTGCTGCAGCGGGGTGGCGCGGTAATCCTGGGCCCGCAGCGCTGCAGACGCAAAAAGGCGTGCGGAAAAAACCTAACTCACAGCCAGTTTGGAAGCTGTTTCCCCAACTTCTGCGCCCGATCAGTCGGCGAGCGACTTTGATTCATTTATATTTTGCATTTTCCATCGCCTGGTTTTCCCCCCCCCCCCCTCCAGGAAAATCACTTCAAGGGATGCCCCCGGGCACAAGAGGTTTCGGCGGCTGTTTTTTCGGAGGCCAGTTCCTCACGTGCACAATGTGTGTGCTTACATGACACGCAAGTTCTGTCACATGCAGTTGCTCGTCTGTGAAAGGGGTTCCTCATGATTGGCAAGTCGTAAGTGAAAACGGACCAGAGCATGCCAAGCACCCATATCTTGTGCACCTTGGAGAGTTGCCCACCAGGGCTGCGATGCAACAGCATGCGCGGCAACAGGGACCAAAGGTTCCAGGCACGCATGGGTCGTTCCTCGTGGGCTCCTTCCTGCACCAAAGATAGCCGACACAAAGCAATACCTCGCTCGTCATCCTCGAGCGGCGTCGTCTGCTGCTCTCTGCTGGTTGCGGTTGCCCGAAAGGCAGCTGCGCCGCCCGAACCGCAGTGACAAGCTTGGGCGCAGCGTGCGAAGGATGTGGCCGCATCGGGGCGAGGCACAAAACAAAAGGAGCGAGCACAACGAAGATGGCGTGCAACAAGGCGTCCTGCTTGACACAGAGATGCACCTGAGCCGCGACAAACTTCGGGTCGCCCAGCGGCGCCCCACGTTGCACCGCCGGCAGTGACAAGTCGCCAAGCCACACGTCGGGAGTTCCAAACACAGGGTCTGGCGGCTTCTGAAGCAGATCCGCGTCTGAAGGGCAGCCGGTGTTGAAAGCAAGGAGCCGCCCCTCCGGCAGCAGGCGCCGTGTAGCAACGAGCGCACCGTGTTGCGCAGGGGCAAAAAAGGGCCAGCAGCAAAGGATCCCCTGCTCCCCGTCTTCCACGCGAGATCATGTGGGGCGCGCCCTGGGCGTCGTGCTAAAACCAAGCGCGATCGGGGGGTGTCGCATTGCGTTGGCGGCTCAACACGTGCAGCATGGCCTGGCGGCTCACGCTGTCAAGAGCACCAACGCCATCGACTGTTCACTGCTTTTTTGGATGTGGGTTCCCGGCTTCCCCCCTGGCCTTCATAGGGGGGCGCAAAGTGTGTGTTTATACTGGCCAGCTTCCACGCTCCGTTTCTTGGGTGGCTCCAAACTCTCCGGTCGCCCGAGAACGAACATGAAACGGTGCAACGAAGAAGAGGAAGAAGAAAAAAAAGGACGGGCCAGCCACCAGAGCCTTGCTCAAAAGCTTGAATCACAATGGCAAAACCTATTTTGGTATATTTTGGTTAGACGCGCGCACCGCGCACATAGCATACAACAACCTTGGGGAGGGGGGGGGGGCTGCCATGACGCCGCCGGAGCTGGCGGCGGACCTTTCGGCGGCGTTGGAGGTGGAGATCTTGGCCGACCGCCTGCGAACCAGTGAGGAGCCACCCGTCCAAGAGTGCATGCGATGCATCCGAGGGGATCACTTCTTAGTCTAGCAGATCAGTATTTTGGAGGTTTTGCGGGGGGTTGGACAAGGGATTTGTCATTTGCATTGGTTTTTTGAATCTATTCCCCAAGGGGTAATCTCGATATTTATTGCTAGCTTGCTTGGGAAAGGTCCGCTGGGCATGTGATCATTTTGTTATGTCCCCCTGTTGACAAGAGTCTCGACCACTTGTCCGGAGGCTTTCGCATGCTTGGTGAGGGGAGTACCATGAAAATTTGATGGTGGGAACCGCGAGTTCCTTACAACAGGCAGCAATGCATTCTTGCTTTGGAGCACGCAGGGGGCCATGGACAATGGCCCCACTTGTCTTGTGGCACGCTCACCTGGGGATGGTGCAAGGGCTTCGCTTGTTTATCAGGCCTGCAACGTCCTTGTGGAACGTGGTGAACAATTGAAATGTTAGTGGTTGGTTCCATCCTCCATGGTGCAATGAACTTTGGCCGACGGTCTTCCTTTGGAAAGCCCATGAGGTTGAGACCCAACATCTGGATTCTCAAAAAGGAAGTTTGGGACCCAACATCTGCATTCTCAAAAAACAAACTGAGACCCAACTCTGGATTTTGCAAAACAAATTCAGACCCAACTCTGGCTTTTTAATTATAAGCGCGCCCGTGCCGCGCCCCTAGGCTGCATGTGCGCATTCGTCCGGCGGAGAGCCCGCCGGCGGAGGGGGCCATTTGGGAGGCGGAAGGCTGGGCGGAGCTTATTTGGGGGATTTCCGGAACGAACCACTTGGAGCGAATCCCACCTCCAACTTCCAGCTGGTTAATATTTTTCCCCTGTTCTTACCTCTTAAAACACAACTTTTCAACTTTTTGGGTAACATGCGCTATATGTCTGTAAAAGATTAACTTCCCCAGGGCTTGGAATTTTAAGGGGTAAGTGTTAGTTTTAAAGAGAAACCATCACTCCTGGAGTTACTTTTGTTTTTTCTAGGGGACTTAAACAAATGGAGGCCACCAATCCCGGTTCTCCTTATTGCTAAAAAAACACGAGTGCCTTTTCTTCCATGGCCACTCGGGGTCTGTGTCGTATGCTGTGTGATTGAATTGTATTTACGAGGCGGATTGAAGATCGGAGCCGGGGGGAGGGGAACGATGGCTTGCCTAAAAGAGCAGGTGTCCAGCTTTCCTGACCCCACAGGAAATGGGTTTTTAAACGCATGTTTTAGCGTCGCCAAATGTTTTCAATACGAGGGTTTGTTTTCCTGTTTTCCAACAAATGTTGGCTCCAGATTACTCAGCCATTTATAGGTCACTTTCGGAGGGAACCCCACCCCCAATTTTTCATAACCAGAGGTTGATGGCCAACATTTACGTTGACGCTTGCTGCTGCTCAGTACGGCATGGGGGAATGACCCCTTTTTTAACCATCCCTTGTGGCGTCCTTCGAGGGAATCCCAAGGTTCATTCCCACATTCCCCCCTCCCCCCCCAGAACAGGCACAGCTGCCAGCGGCCAGTGCTTTGCAGGGCGTCCAGACAGGAGTAAAAACATCATGGCAATGGCGGGCAATGCACGCTTGCATCTTGACATGGATCTGTCTCAAAATAGGCGGGGGGTCTGTCTCAAAACGGTGTCCCTTTCCCCGAAAACAAAAACAACACATGGAAGCCACAAAACCATGGCTTGCAATTAAAAGAGTCTCTTGTGGGACCCGCTGTCTCCCCTGGGTTTTTTGTTTCTCCCCCCCCCGCCCTCCCCCAAGTTTTCGTTTTTTCTCCCCCCCCCCAACGTTTTTCGTCCCCCCCCCCCCCCGCCCCCGGGATTTTCGTTTCGCGCCAGGCCCGGACCAGCACTTGGAGTACGACTGGTTCCAGCGCGCCGCCTTCGCCTGCGTGGAGCGCGGGGAGTCGGTGCTGGTAGCGGCGCCCACCTCCGCGGGGAAGACCGCGGTGGCGCGCAAGGCGGAAAGCGGAAGCGACCGCCGGAGCCGCGGAAGCCGCGGAAGCCCCCTCAAAAATGGAATGGGGGAGGGGTGAATTTTGGAGATCTCCATGTGTGGCTTCCCTATGGGGAAGAGTACGGCGTGCCAAGCTTTTCTGGTAACCCCTTAAGCAGGGTTTCTGGGGGGAGAAGCCGGCGGCGGATGGAGTTGGGGACCCCCCACCCCCCGGATGCCGCAGAGCGAAGCCGCCGAAGCCGAAGCCGAGCCGTGTTCAGACGCGGGGCTGGCAGGGCTCAGCCCAGGTTTCCGGTTTCCTTCTGCTTCTTTCTTCTTCCTGATGTTTTTTTGGAGTAGGTCAACTTCATAAGTTGGATCGGCAAAGTTCTTCTGGGCTTAGTCAAGACCAGGAGAAAGTTGGAACATATTTTTTTTGGCCAGGCTCAGCATGTCAGTTGGTGGTTTTCAAAGATCGCCTTCAGGAAAGGCCGAAGGCCGGTGAAAGGCGGGCTCGGCGGAAGCCAGGCAGCCCTGGTAGAGACGGGGCTTTCCGTCACGTTGCGGCCCAAAGACTTCGAATGGGGTGGTGGTTGGGTTTGTGCACAAACAAGCGTTGCGTGCCACGATCATACGATGATGACTTATGCTTCTGCCATGTTTCTGCTTGGCTGTTTTTAATTGTGTGCTTGCCTGGTTGACATGTTTGTTGTGGTTTGGCCTGTTTGATGGTTGAGTGACCTGCTTGCGTTTTCCATTCGCCACTGAACCCTCCCTGCCATGAGGCTCTTCTCGTTGTTTTTTTGTTGAATCTGTGAGCCTTGGCGTTAACCCCTAATCAATAACCCCGTTTGTCCATGATCAATACCCTAATATAATAATATATAATAATATAATTGGGGGTTTATTACTTGGGTGTCAACATTGCCATGGTGACCATTTGGGAGAGCCAACAATTTTATCGGGTTGCCTGAGATGTCTCTGATTTTGCCATCAGGCGATCCACCAATGCATCGCCTCTGGCACTCGGTGTGTCTACACAGCGCCCATCAAGGCGACGGGAGACGATCGGCGGATGGCCGGACTACTTTTTTTTTGGACAACTTGTTGGTTTAATTAGAGAATGTTCGTGTAAAGCGCATGAGTTTTGGACATTCGTTTGAGGAACCCTGTCCATTGCGCCATGCTCTCAGACTACTTGATGCCAACAGGGGCGACTTCTGTTGGCTTCGAATCGGATCATTCGATTTACCCCGATGTTGCAGGCCCCCAAGTCCGGTTGTATTTTGCTTTTTCGTTTTGCTCCTTTGTGTTTGAAGAAAGGTTTTGACTGCTAAAGCCAGCCCTTGTGGTTTTGTTGATAGGGGATGTAGTCTAACTGGGGCAAATCTGGGCAAATCTCGGACAATGCTTGTGGCCGGGTCCCCAAGAGGAAGTTGTAGCCTGACTTGCGCAACAGATTGTTCAAACTTCGGAGTCCTTTTGGCGTTTGGGCGTTTGGGCCTGCTTGTTGAGGGGGACTCCGAAACAGGCAAATACCGGGGTATATAAGTGAGTCACCGCTTAGCTACTGTGCAAGCGGTTTTTGCCGGGCATTTCCAAGCCGGTAGACAGGGGTCCCTATATTTCCCCTTTTTTGTGATTTTAGACATCACCTTCTTGGCCCATGAAAGGTGAGTGTCCCTTGGTGGCTGTGATGTTTCAAGGGGAAATATAGGGAGCCCTGGTAGAGGTTTGGGGAGTAGTAGACGCGAGCTAAGATTGTCGGCTTGGCGGCCGTTTCGACGGCGCTTGGCCGTATCTTCCGTGCGCAGGCAGGTCGCCGGAAGTTGGGCACGTTTCGCCTTGGCCGAAACGGGCTCCGCACTTCCTGAGCTCCTGGACTCCGACTTTTTGAGTTTGGACCAACTTAAGGGACCCAGGATTAATAAACCTGTCCCATTATTGGGGGGGGTGTTCCTTCCGGGGTTAACATGAGTGGCATTCCCAAGTTTTTTGTGGGCCCATCCACTCGATCGGAAGTGAGCTTCCTTCCCAGCCAAAGGTGACCTTTGAGTTGGGCTTTGTGATCCCCGCACTTTTTGTTGCTCCATGTGTTTCTGTCCATGCGGTTTTACGTGAGGGTGGACCCAAACAAGGCTGGCAAAGAGGTTCCATGGGTTGTCGGTAGCATGGCGCTCACTGAACGAACCCTTTCCTACCATTGGCGTGGTGGTAAGAAACTTGGTTGTTTTTTGCAGCCCCCTACAAACAATGAACAGGAATAACAAGAGAACCACCACAACACATGCCAACAACAGTGAAGAACCTGTTGCAGCCAATTCCCCCCAATGTATTTCAGTCTTTAAAAGGGAGTGGAAGTGCGCCCTTGATTTGAGTTGCAACCCCCGACTTCTGGGACGCTCCCAACAGGCGAACTCCCGGATGAAACCAATGTGGGGGTCTTAAAGTACCTAAATGGCCGGGTTTCTTGTTGTTTCTCTTGAGCCCCCCCCCCCGAAAAGGCAACAGACCCCCAAGGTGTTCTCGTTTTTCCTTGGAACAAGCCCTTGGCAAACTTTAGGTTACGCATACTTATTTGGATGGGGAACTGTGGGTCTGACCCCTGACTCTTGCTACATCAGCTGGTGTCTCTTTAGTTTCAGGTGAAACTCCCTGATGAAAGTAGAGTGTGACCATATCGCCAAAAAGGGTTCTCCAGATTGAGACGGACCCCATTGTTGATTTGTCGTTTTTGAGAAATGGGGTTGAGTTTCAGGTGAAATTCCCCAATGAAAGTTGAGTGTAATTCTTTACCCCTTTTTCTTAACTCCTCCGAGCTCCTCCCCCTTAAGCATTGCGGTATGTTTGTTTCCCCCACGTCCTCCCCCTCACTTCGCCAATTTTTTGGATCCCTCCCCCCCTTCACTTCGCATTTGTTTTTGATTCCTTCCCCCTCCCCCCCCCCCCCCTCCTCCCGTGTCCTCCCCCATTCCCCCCCTCTCATTGGAGAATGTCCAGGCGCTCTCCAACGAGAAGTTCTCGGAGTTCGTCCAGGAGTTCTCCCCCGACCGCGTGGCACTGCTCACCGGCGACGCCCGCGCCGGGAACCCGGAGACGGCCCACGTGGTGGTGATGACCACCGAGGCGCCGCCCGTCCGCCGTCCGCTTCGGGCGCCGTTTCGGGCGCGGGGGGGGTGGAGATGGGTGGAGGTCCCGGCCATCCAGTGGCTGGGGGGTGGCCTTTACAATTGAGTTTGCACCGAAGGATTGCAGCTCGCCAAGCATTCTATTTTTCCTCCAGGGAACAACTTCCTTGATTGGCCGGGTTTCGCACTGCGGCGATGGCCCAACAAGGTTTGCGCAGCACGGCAGGCAAGTCCCAGTGATTTGTAGCTTCCGGAGCTCCCTTTCCTTTGTTGAAGCCCGGATTGGTCGCTTTTTTGTTTGGGAGGGGGGCAATGCACGCAGGAAGTGCGTGTTTGTGTTTTTCGGGGGACGCCAGGGTCGCAGTTTATGGGGCGTTCCCAATTCTAAAGCACGCCCTCTCTTCATTTTGTGTGAGGCTGTTGCGTGTTTCCATCTCGTTCCTTTCCATGCCATGCAGTCTCAAGAAACATCCGGCCAGTGGAAGGAACACATTTTGTGTGTGGGAACTTGGATATGAACGAGATGAATGGATCTTCCCTGCAATCTTCTTCACGTGCCCCATTTGTCCAATGGAAAAGGTGAACAACGTGCGAAGGAGATAGAGGGTGAATGCAATTGAACGGAGATAACCAAAAACGGGGGGGGGGGGGAGAGATACATATGTTCTGCTTATCCCTGATGTGGGCCAACTAGCCCGAACGAAGAAGGGGTGACAGGCAAGGTGCGCCATTCATGAGCCCGGCTGCAACAGCGAAGGATGAAGGGATGGCTGTCTCCTGTATCGCTTGAATGCTGTGAGATGACTCGCAGCTGGCCCAAAATCTGGTGGCACCGCCGGAATATGCCCACCCCCCAAATTACCAGTACAGACGCATGTGTAGGCCTCATGACTTGCAGCTGGGTGTTTCTCAAAATGGGAGCCAGTTCCCCAAGATGGGGTTCCTTGTGGCTCCTTTCACATGCCAACCAAAAGAGCCGTTAAAAATGGTTCCTTTCCTTTTGGCTTCCCTAAACGCCAACCAAAAGCAGTCTGGCATGTTGAGAAACTCCGAAGTTACTTCCATTCGCTTAAGTATATCTGTTATTCCCCCTGTTGGTTTTACAGGGAATCTATCACTACAGTTGTTTTCTTCTTTATAATATATAATATAATGGAAGGTTAGGAATCGCTTTGAGATCTGCAAGCTGTGGCTTTCAGCCTCGGAGGTGTTGGTTAGCCTGCTACACAGCGCCCGGCTCGAGGACGGCAACACGGCAACACCGGAGTGGGCATTGCTTGAGGGAGCACCTGTGCCACCAGCCTGAGGGAAACCACACGGGATTTTTCAGGTGGCGTTCAGGCGGAAAATCAACGAAGACCTGTTTCCCAGAAGTTGTTCCCTTGAAACATCGGTTAATTTCGAGGATGTCACTTGGACCCACCTTTTAAAGGCTTCTCGGAAGTTCCCTTGCAACATCGGTCAATTTTCAAGGATGTCACTGCAGTGGACCAGTGGACCCAGCCAAAAAAAGGACTTGCAGGCTCCGCTCCTGGTGGGTTCATAGTTTGACCTGTGGATCGGGCGGATCCAGCCGAGTCTCCTTACAGCCGAGTCTCCTTACCCGCTTCGGCTGCCCTTTTGTATTCTGTGCTCCTCTTCGTTTCCTACAGCCGCCCCTATGAGTCAAGTTCCAAAGGTTAATTGTTTTTTTCTCCCCCTCGAAGCCAGGGTTGCTTGGGGCGAGTTTAGAATGACTCACTGCCCGGGTTCCTGAACTTCACCGGCAAGACCATTTTGGTGGTTTATGTAAAGTTTGGATACCTTTCCTCCAACTAACCTGGCAGTGGGGCAGTGGGGAGGTACCTGGAAGATGAATTTCCTTTTGAAGGGACCCCATCCACTCGATCGGAAGCGAGATTCATGGTTGTTGTTGGGAAACATCTTGCATGTTTTTGCTGATTGTGGTTGAGTGACTGAAATCCAAATCCACTGAACTGCTATTTTTTTCAACTTTTGCTCCCCAAGCCCAACGTCAAGCAAGGACTACGGTGTCATGGGAAGGGTTTCAGCTTCGTTTTGTGTCGGCTGTAGGACCCGGACCCGGGCCCGGAGGGCGGGGAGGCCCGGCCTCCGGGCCTCATCCGGAGCCTCTCCTGCGCCGTCTTCGCGGCTTGGCGCGGGGGTCCTTTTTTTTTCCCCCCCGGGCGCGGGCCTTCTGGGAGCTTCCGTGTTAGTCTGAGGGAGTGTACTGTGGAGGAACGAAATCCATGTCGCAACACCTTGAAGCCATGGGCAAGCATTGTTTGTTGGTATTCACAGGGAATCATCATTCCGGCATTCCGGGATTTCTTAGATGGTGCAGGATTTCGCCCATCCACAGGAGGACAAAGGACGCACAAGATAACAAGAGCAAGCGCGAAGAGAATCAAGGCAAACACGTGATGAAACAGATGTGACAAGTGACGAGACACAGACACACAAGAAACAAGAGCAAGAACCAGCAAATGTCACATAAACAAGCAAATGGATAAACAACAACCAGATCGAAGACACAAAGAAGCACAGAGCAAAAAGGAAGGAGCAAACGAGCGCAGAAACGCGCGGACGAGATCCACAGGATGAGATCCATTACATCGCGGACGAGGAGCGGGGCACAGCCTGGGAGGAGGCGCGGGGACTTCTCGCGGGACGCGGTCAAAACCAGCTCGGCCGTTTTCCTTCACCCTATTTGTGAAAGGTGGGTGTGTGCGATGCCAAGCTGCTTCAGGGAAAAGCGTTTTGCGGCTCACTGCGGCGACATCAACCCAGTCGTTGGTTGGTGCCGCTTTTTTCTCTTTTTGTTTGATTGGCTTCACTCAAAATGGTCAACCTTGAATCTAGGTGGCTCCCAGCCATCCGGTTCCTTCGCCTTTTAGCTTTTTAGTGCTTAGTGGTAGTTTCCATTTCACACACCAAAAGTTAGTCACTTTTAGCGGGGGATCTGAGGGCAGCCCAGTTGAAAAGTAACCGATTCCATTTTTGTTTCTATCAAAAACATCGCTCAACAACTGGGTCAGCCTTTGGTTTGCTCTCACCAGTCACGCAGGCCATTGTGCTGCTCGAGCGCCACGTGCCTTGGACATCGGCACTTGGGTGTTGGTGGCCAAATTCGCTGGGCTGTTCGAAAAGGCAACCCTGAACTTACTGGTGGCCAGTAGGGAGAGAGAGAGAAAGAGAGAGAGAGAGAGAGGGAGAGGACGAGAAAAAGAGAGAAAGAGAGAAAAAAGCAAAGGAACATCCAGGAACCTCACCATGTGGAGCCTTGGGGCTCCAGATTTCAGGCTCTGGAGCCCTGGAGTTGGTGAAAACTGGTGGTCCCCCCCCATGGAGTGCTTCTTGCGGGGTAGATGGAAAGCCACCCCGGAACACCTGCAAACCACCAACCCGAACCACCAAGCCACCAAGAACCACCAAACCACCAAGCCACCAAACCACCATAACCGAACCATAAATCCAAACCAAACCATAAATCCAAAGCAAACCAAACAAAACCAATCCAAACCACCAAGCCGCCAAACTGCAAACCCCCCCAACAAAAAACAACAAAGGGTATGTTTCTTTTGGTTTTCCTTTAACACCACGACAAAAAGGGTACCAACTCAAAAAATAGCCCCCCTTGTGTGGTATATCCCCCTGACCTTTTGGTTTCTCCATTTCTAGTAAAGGTCCGAAAATGCAAACCTTTTATTCCCAGATCTTTTGGGCAACTGAGGAACAAACCATACATCCACACCACACCAAACCAAACCACCAAACCACCAAAAATGGCGGTTTTCCTTTTGGTTTCTCTCTTCCGTGTTTGTTGGTGGGAGGGTGCCAACCATCAAGTTTCCGGGAGCAGTTGCCGTGAAACAGGTGCAGCTGGTGGGCCTCTCGGCCACGGTGCCCAACTTCTGTGAGCTGGCGGGCTGGGTGGCGCAGACGCGGCACCTGCCCTGCCACGGGACGGGAGGGTGGGGTGGGGTGGGTGGTAGGGGAGGTGGGGTGGGGTGGGGTGGGGGGGGGGAGGGTTGGGCAGGTTCCGCCTGTGTTTCCCCAGCCGAAATAGGCGATAAGGGATGGTTTGGACCAGATTTCAGGGAGGGTTCCGGAGGGTTGCGGGGCCGTTGCGGATACCGCCTGGGCTGTTTCGAGGTGCTTTTGTTTGGGTTTGAAAGGGTAACCTTCATGCTTCAGGAAACGTGCCTATGTTGAGACCGCCCGGAGCAAGCCTGGGCAACTAGCCCGCGGAACGGGGAACCCCAGCGCGTGTTCGTTTGATCGAACAATCGGGAGTTCCGGAAAATGGCCTTTCAAACTTGCGAAAGTGCAGCAAATGATCACCAACCATGCTGCCGACGTGCTGGTTTCCCTCGCTGGCAAAATGCACTCCGCATCACTTGGGTGGTTTTACCCAAATCGATCGATCCGCGCGGATTTGGTTCGGCCCCATAATGGGTCTGTCTGCTTTGAGAGTACTATTTTTGTTGACCCGAAATCCGATTTGTTGGGTCCCCTAACCCCTAAGAAAAGGAAGAACAATTTAGGGTGTGTCTGGGCGAACCACTATTTGTTCAAGGGGCTAAGGTTTGGGTTTGTGTTTTGCGTTTAAAAGGCTGACCAAAAGGAAACCAGAAATCGCGAAAGGTCCACCGGGTTCCCTAAAAGATGTGTTCTTTTGGTTGGAGGGTGAATAAAAAAGCAGCGCAACATCCATTTGGGTGGGTTCCCTAGTCGAAGCCATTTGGGCGTGTCTTTAAAAAATCGAACCGAAGTCCAATTTTGGTGGCTTCTCCAAAAGAGTTGTTGTTTTTCGACCATGGGAAACAGCGAAAAACTTGAGACCTCCATTGAATTTTGGTGGATTCCCAGAGGAACCACGGAGAAAAGATGGTTTCATTGAACGAAAACAACGGGGAGATCCATTTTTGTTGGGTTCCCAGAAGGGGGGGGACAAAAAGCCCGGAGCGAGAGCCCCGCGCGTTTTTTTTTCGCCGGCGACCGCGTCTTTTTAGCCGCGGACGCGGGGCGCCGGGGCGCCGCCAGGATCTACAGCCGGCGGCGGCCGGTGCCCTTGGTGCACGGCGTGGTGTGCTGCCCCTTCGACGGCTCCAGCCCCGTGGAGGTGACGAAGCGGGGCCGCTTCATGCAGAGGGCCTACGAGGTGGGACGGGGGAATTCGGGGTGGTGTACCACGGACCACACGCGACCTGTTTTTGTTGTTGTTGTTGTTGGTTGCTTTTTCTGGAGCCGCTTGGTGGAGTCTTTTTTTCTTTTGGGGGGGGGGGCGGGGGTGGGGCGGGTTTCAGGCCGGTTTGTTGAAAAAACACGTTAAAACGCTCGCCCAACCTTGGCGTTGCCCCTAACCAATCCAAACCACCCAAGTATCACATGAACGGGAAGCTGACTCAAAAAACAAGCCAAAGACAGCAGCCTCTTTAATCCACATGAAGCAAGTTTTCAAGTTTCCACGTTTGTTTGTTTTTTTTCAAAGGTTCTCTTATGTTTTTAGGAGGCCACTGTGGTGGCAAGCAACACGTTTGGCCTTTTAAAGGGCTGCGTTGGCCACTCCTGGCGGGAGGGGGGGGGGGGGTTGCCAAGTCCATGGTGAATTTGGGAAGGGCATAGGGATTAAAACCCGGGTGGGAGTGGGTGTGAAGGGGCAAATTGCACCAGGAAAAGGAAACCATAGTTGAAACTGTAGCGTTGGTAATTTACGTTGGGGGATCGAATCAGAAACCAGGGTTTCTCAGGTGGTACTCCGATTCGGCCACGCACAGCAGGCTCAAGTTCTTATAGGGTGAAGTGTGGAATTTTAGGTCTTTTTTGTTTTTACAAAGGGTGTACGCCTCAGGAAAAGCCACCGCTAGCTGGAGGATAGCGATTATTCCCCAAACAGTGTCGTTTGTCATTTCCCTGAGAAGACAGCTGAAAACGGTACCCTCAAAAATACTACATGCACACGTGCCCACATAAACAACATCCACTTTCACCCTGGACTCTTGGGAGTTGGTACCTGTTTTTTGTTTGTTTGTGTGGTTTTCAGGTTGGAAACCAACACAAGCAAAGCGTCTTGCATGTTTTGTGGGTCCCCTCAGCCGCCCAGATGACCCAGAGGCGGCGGTGCAGCGCCTGCCGGAGGTGCGCACGCCGGTGGAGGTGAGCCGCGCGGATCGTGGCCGCGATCTGGTGGCCTTGGTGCAGGCGTGCAGGCGGACAGCTTCCGCTCGCTGTGACTTTCGCCGGGGGAGTGGTCGTGCAGCTGGCTATAGGGAAATGCGGCGGGGGGAGTGGTCGCAATGCGGCAGCTGGCCCTAGGGAATGCGATGGAATGCGATGGAATGAACTCAGGCTTTGGCTTTTTCTGAAAAGGAAGCCACCAGTTGGATGGTTTATTTCAGGGCCATTCCCTCATTCCCTTTTTTGGAGGCTGTCCGTTTTTGGGGGCTGGTTGAAAGGGAAACCAACTGGAAACATAAGGAAACTATTTTTTGGGGCGCCCTCATTTTCAAGTGGGTCCTTTGCTCGGGTGCCCCGATTGCCAGGGTTCCACTTGTTGACCAAAAAGTGGAACCCTGAGGGGCGGTCTTTCTCACAAAAGCCCAAGCCGAACCGACCGTTTCTGTGTGGTTTCTCCCATTTTTAGTGACCCCCAAAAGGTTAACCTCTTGTTTTTGTTGTTCTTTGGGCAACTGAGGTGGCCTTTCGGTGTAAAGGGTTCCCTCTCTATTGGGACACCGGTTCTTCAGTCATTATAAACTGTGTTTTGTTCACGTGTTGTTTCTTCATATGTCAAAACGGCCGAACGGCCGTTTGGCTCAAGTTTTTACCTCCCGTCAAGTGGGAATAGGACTCACGCTCGTGCGCCATTCACTGGCAGCTTTCTTCGTCCTCGAGCCGAAAAGGGTCGGGGCCGCGGGCGGCTGGGTGTAGGAGGTGCTCGGTGAGTCGCGCTGTTCTACTTGGGCTTGGTATTGAACTTAATCCTCTTCAACTTGATTTCTAACCTCCCCATACTTCTCCCTTGTCAACCGTCACTTCCTCAACCCGGTCATCATCCACAGCTTCACCCGAGTTGTGTTTCCGGGTGCTTTGGGTACATCGTGATCTACTTTGTGCTCATTTGCTTCCCTGGGCTACTTCGTGTTCGCCCAAAACCGCAGGTTATCAGCCGTACCAGCTAGAAGCTGGGGCTGGTGATCCGGTTGCGGGACGTGACCCGCTACCTGCTCCCATCGCCTACTTGTACGAGCAATGGCGTCCCCCGGAGCTTCTCATCGTGGGCCGGGCTTCGTGGACGACGAGGCCAACGCCCTTCGCGGCAACGCCGCGCCTGCTGCCCCCGGCTTAGACAGCCGGCTGTGGCCCATTCCCCCGATGGTGGGCGCAGAGCCCAATCCCGGGGTGATCACGGACGATTGGATCCTTTCTCAGGTTGTGTTTGATGAGGATGCGGAGGCCCCTATCCCGGCGGCAGTGCTCCAGATCGAGGACGGACCCCCTCTAGAAGAGGCTGAGGTTCCTCCAAATCAGATGCCCTCATCGATTTCGCCTACTGTTCCGTTCGTGGCGCTCCAGATCGAGGACCGGGCTATCCATCATGCTGCTCATCCGGAGCCGGCTCAATCATGGTCCCTTACATGGGATCAGTTTGACCAACTCCTCGGCAGTGGATCGCAGGCTGCACCGCCTGATTTCGGTCGGCTCGACTTTAACTCGGGTGCCCCCGTTTCGGTTGGGAATCTGGATTTTCAATCCCTTTTTGATGCTGATTGGAGGTCTCAGCCTTCCCGAATTGACAGATCCTTTGATTCCCTGCCGTCGCATGAGCCTACTCAGGGTTTTCCTCATGATGAAGAAAATGACCCCATTGAAGATTTCCCCCTTTCTCATAATGCAGGTTCGGCCCAACCCGAGGCGGGCAAACGTGCGATTGAGGATTGGCCGCAAATAGCTGGCCCTCCTCCCGTCTCAGGTTCATCCGACATTGACATCATTCACGATCACCCCAGTCCGGCGGATATGGACTTCATCCCTGATGCAGTATCATCTCACCTGTCAGGTACCCGCGACCGGAATGCGGACCGCTACAACGCTGGTCCGAATCCACCGGTTTCCTCAGGTACCCGAGGTCGGGATGCGAACCGCTACAACGCGGGCTCAAATCCGCCAAATCGGGCATCAGGTACTAATCGATCGGACGCGGGCCGCGAAACAGCAGGCCCAAATCCTTCCTCCACTTCGTCAAGAAGCCATGCCGGTCTCTTCGCGGCGTTCAATCGGCGTCAGACTCGAAAAGAGTCCGCCCCCGACGTCATCGACCTCGAGGAGCAGTCCAGCCACCGTACCAGCGATGGATCCGAGCAGGATACACCTGGTATTGGCTCCACTCCATTTGACCTCCTCGACATCCCCTTCCATCAGCCACCCAGGAGAAGAAATGAAGATGATGAAACCATTCCTGGGATCCTTGATGTAATCGATGAGGCCGAGGTCACACCAGAGAGACGAACTACATCGCTCCCGCCGAGCCGCGTTGCCAAAGTACTTTCCCCTAAGCCACTCGATGGTGACGTTGCTCAACGGCTTGATCTTACTCAGCCTAATCCAGATCAAGCTCAACTTCGCGGATCATCATCATTTGATAATGTGTCGGGACAAACCGGCACTGACTCACGAGCCACAAAGAGGAGCTCTGAGTCACCCGAGAGACGTGAAGCTGCTCTACGACTGCGATCTAATCCCCCAGCTCATCACGATCCTGTTGACGTTCCTATACACTCTGCGGGGTCTGGGCTCAGCTCCAATGCCCCGATGTCTGAGAAGGAGACTGATGACGGGATTAACTCTACGCCTAGGAACCGGAGACCTGGACTTAGCACTATTGCCCCTGGATATGGAGGGCTTCCTTCGACTCAACCGGTCAACGACTCCGTTGTCCCCGCATTCTTTCAAATCGGAACTCCGGGCTGCACTCCCGACAGGGAAGAGAATGCGATCTAATCCCCCAGCTCATCACGATCCTATTGACGTTCCTATACACTCTGCGGGGTCTGGGCTCAGCTCCAACGCCCCGATGTCTGAGAAGGAGACTGATGACGGGATTAACTCTACGCCTAGGAATCGGAGACCTGGTCTTAGCACTGTTGCTCCTGGATATGGAGGGCTTCCTTCGAATCAACCGGTCAACGACTCCGTTGTCCCCGCATTTAAATCGGAACTCCGGGCTGCACTCCCGACAGGGAAGAGAATAGTCGCGGAGATCATGACGCTGGTAGTCGTCCTGCTCCGTCTGCTTCCACAAGTGGCGGCCATCCTGTTGCATCTGAGCTTCAACGACTGCTTCTCGCGATCCACAACGAGGTCAAGGGGTGCAAGATCCAGGGATGCAGAACTGAGATTCGTTCATGTAGGGATGATATCAACGCTTGCGTCGGTGAGATCAAGAAGATCAATAACCGTGTTGACGCCTTCGAGAAGAAGGTTGAATCATCTTTCTCTGCCGTTGCCGGAACTCTCTCAAAACACGAGGCTAAGTTCCGTGATTTCCACGAGTGGGTCACCCGAAGCGAGAAGGAGATGAATGAGCGTTTCAAGATGTATGATGAGAGATCTGACTCGATCGTCATATCCGCTGCTGAACTTCGCGAGCAGGCCGAATCACTTGAGAACGTCAAGGTCCAGCTTCTTAGGTTTTCTGAGATCGGGGCCCTTGAGGCTGAGGTTCGGAAAATCAAAGACGAAGTTGAGGCGAACTCTCGCAGTGTCATCGACATTGAGGGAACCATCTCAAGAGAAAGAACCATCCGTGGGAACGTCGAGACGTATATCCAGCATCTCGTTCCTGCGACCGACCTGAAGCAGTTCAGTGGTAAGGTATCCGGAGCCCTCAATGAGAACTCACAGAAACAGGAAGAATTCAAGCTTCAATTGTCCCGCATTGCTAGATGTGTCAAGGACCTTCATGACAAAAGCTTAGGCCCCAATCCGAGGGACATGCAAGAGCAGTTTATGAAGCTTGTGCTGAGGGTCAATGAGATCAACATGCAGATCGCTGAATTGAGGGAGCAACCTCTTGCTGCCTGCGGATCCTCAAGTGCTGGCGCTGGTTCGACCGCCGGAACGGGATCATGGGAGAAATCTGGAGACACAGATCCCTTAACCCAGGGAAGGGCTCCTAGAGGTTCTCCTCCTCGTGATGCTCGCACCGTCAGCTCGGCGAGGCCTCCTCCACCTCCACCTCCACCTCCTTCGGGGCCACCCCCACCATCACCATCAGCCCCCATCTTCGGCAGGGATCCCTCTAGAGCGAGGGCCATTGCTCGGGCTGCCGGCGCTGCCCCTGATAACCGGGCCAGGTGTGCTCATGAGGAGCCAGGGCATCCACAGCATCGGGAACCTCGCCATCCATGCCGAAGCTGCGGCAAGTCAGTCTGCGAAGACTGCTTTGACCATGACTGTAACTCATGTTTCAAGTGCAGCGATCAGTTTCCTAGATGCCGCGCATGCAGAGGAAGAGGGGGGAGACACGGACTTGTGAGGTGTCTCATATGCAAGGACGAGTACTGCGATCAACACATCGCTTCGCCTGATGATGTACGTCGTTTTGGGTCGAGTGTTCGACCTATTTGCCTCGGTTGTCTGAGAGCTGATCCCGACGGGAAAACTAAGCATCGCGGCCCCAGTGCGGGGCCTGGAGGACCTGATTGCATTCCTGATCATAATCAGCAGGATGGCACTGCTCCTGATCCTGGATCCGGGCCATCACGTGGAGATCCGTCACATCGGAGTCCTGAACCGCACCAAGGGAATTCTGGTTTCTGTTCCCACGCCGGAGCTGCCGGGCCAATGCCACCAAGGGCAATGTCTTCGCCCGTAGTCGGACGAGCAGTTCCGAGGGGGACCATCAACACATATCCTGGGTGTTCCCCTACGGGGGGGGTTTTCACCGGTCAGGTCGAGCATGGAACATCTCAGGGAATCATTCGCGGGAGATATGGATCTGACGCTGCTGTGACAAATCAGCAGAATTCACAGCATCACCAGGGAGCACAGAATAACTCTGGCGGTTCGAATGGCTTCTCTCTTCCACCAGGACTCGATAAGGGTGTGCATGGCGCCAGTGGTGTCGGCGGTATTGGAGCTCCCGATCTCCGCCGATCCTCCGCTGAGGAGAGGGTCTGCCCTCGATGCAACATCAATGTCAAGACCA